ACTGTTTTCTCCCAACCGCTCGAGTTCCTCATTCAGCTTTTCCAATTTCTCAACATCGGTATCCCAGGTACGGGGATAGCTGGACAAATCTTCCGTGACTCCGAATTGTGTGGGGTTGACGTAGATGCTGACGAAAATGTCTGTGTTCTCGCGAGCAGCTTGTCGAATTAGAGAGAGATGGCCCTCATGAAGTGCGCCCATAGTAGGAACGAAGCCTACAGTTCGGTCCTTCTGGAACAATTGGCGTCGGAGTCCCCTGATTGAGGGAACATCGCGAAAGACTTGAAAGCTGGATGGTTGGCGAACGGATTGCGAAGCCGCGGTCGCATCGGCAAGCAGGGATGAAGCTGTCGCTAGGATAAAGTGAGCTTATCTGGAGCTATAATTTTCATCGAAGAGACATACTCGAAAACGACCTCGCTCCGTTGACCCAACGAGACATTGTGAGGATAATGAATAAAGTTCAAGATGCAGACGTCAACTCCTGGGATGAGAGCTACGGGCATACCTCAGGCCACACGTGACCTGCCTCGGCTCAATCCTGGGGAAATCCGAAAAACATCCGGGGGCGATCAGCCGTGGTGCCGCTTGAAGAGCTTGGGGTTTCAAGCTATGATTTGGTCCCGCTCTTCTTCTCTTTCGAGCTCCTCATTTGATCCATCTTCTTCTTTTCTTCCATGGACTTAGCGTGTTCTCGCGTGAGCTCACCTTGAAGTATAATCATTCTCGCCCTGCCCCCTTACAAGATGCCGTCCCCTAAGTCGGCTATTGCCGAAGACCACTTGGCACCAGATCTGGAAATCGTCAACTCAAACTTGACAATCCATCCATCGGGCTTCACTGGAGGGCCAGAAACCCAAGATGACCAAATCACCGAACGTAACCTTGTTCGCCATATGGCGCGATTTCGCGAGAACCCCTTGGACTTTCTCCGTGAAGTGAGCCTGTTCATGTCCGGCACGGGCTGGCGTGCATATGACGAACCTATCGGCCAACCAATATACTATTCTGGCTTCTCGGAACGGATGAAGACTTCCATATTAGGGAGCCCACTTCTGCAAAACAAGGTCACTGAATTGGCCAATCGTCGACTGATGGTCGAAGAGAAGGAAGGATTGCTGGCAATTAACGAAGGTACAACCCTGGACGACAAACGGGCCCGTCGCCGGACTGAGATTGAGGGTAATCTTCGGGAAGTCGTGGATACAATGATGGAAAACATGATTTGCAAGATGGAAAGCAAACCGTTTATTCGGGGTGCTTATTATATGTGCACACAGCTCTTGACTCGTGCCTACCATCAAGGTAAAATTTCTCTGCTATACATATACTATCACAAGTTAATGCTAAACGATATTCACCTTAGGCATCCACGTATCCAGCGAAGAAGTCTTGCGTCTAAGATCTGTAGCTGAAACTGCTGCTAAAAAGAAGCAGTCGATTGTTTTCCTGCCTTGTCACAAATCCCATGTGGACTACGTCTCCCTGCAACTTATCTGTTACCGTATCGGCATTTCTCTACCGGTCATCGTCGCGGGTGACAATCTGAATATCCCATTGCTTGGCTCTTTCCTACAACACGCAGGTCGGTTGGAAGGCAATTTCCTATTAGCTTTAAGCCATTACTGACCATATACAGGCGCCATGTGGATCAGACGCAGCTTTGGAAATGATCCATTGTACAATACTGTCGTGCAAGCATATATCGACACCCTCCTTCAACAGGGCTTCAACTTCCAATGTTTTATTGAAGGTGGTCGCTCCAGAACTGGAAAACTGCTTTCACCTAAGTTTGGAATCTTGAGTTTTATCATGGACAGTCTACTGTCAGGTCGAGTTGAAGATCTGATCATCTGTCCTGTCAGCACCCAATACGACAAGGTCATTGAGACTGAGTATGACATCCCGCTGACGCTCTAACCCTTCTGATGAAAATTGTCGCTGACACATTCTTTAGGTCTTACATCAGCGAGCTTCTTGGCCAGCCGAAGGCAAAGGAGAACTTGGCTGATTTCATTTCTTCGTCGTCGGTTTTGTCCCTGAAGCTAGGCCGAGTTGATGTTCGTTTCCACAAGCCATGGAGTCTCCGAGACTTCATTGGTCAGCAGCTTACCCGACTGGATCGCCCCAGCACCGACATCAATAACAAACTTAGCTATACTGATCGAGGCCGCATTTTAAGAACATTCGGTTATCGGGTTCTGTCCGATATCAACGACGTGTCTGTGATGATGCCAACCGCCCTTGTGGGAACCGTTCTCTTGACCTTGCGCGGCCGCGGAGTCGGGAAAGCCGAATTAGTACGCCGATTGGACTGGCTCTGCGAGCGGGTGCGAGCCAAAGGCGGAAGGGTGGCACACTTCTATCGCTCTCCAACCGAGACGGTGGTTGACCGTGCACTGGAAGTCCTAGGACCCAAACTCGTTGGTGTAATTTCAGGTCTAGTAGAGCCAACTTACTATGCGGTGGATCGTTTCCAGCTTTCCTTTTACCGCAACATGCTTATCCACCTTTTCATCACGGAGGCGCTGGTTTCTGTGGCTATGTACACAAAGATCAAGCAAGGTGGCGGGCCTGCCAATCAAAGAATCACCTACGAAGATTTGAAAAAACAGGTTTCGTTCCTGTCTCAGCTTTTCCGCGGTGAATTCATTTTCCCGCCTGAGGGCTTGGCTAATAATTTCGATAAAACTTTGCGTGGACTTGAGAAGGATGATGTGATCAAAATCACCCGTGATGAGTCCACCACCCCAATCTACGTTGAGTTGAGCGAGTCTGAGCGACTATGTGGTCGCGAGAACTATGATTTCTATTGCTTCTTGATCTGGCCTTTCATCGAGGCCTCTTGGCTTGGTGCAGTGTCCCTTCTTGGACTGACGCCTCCTCTCGATGGTCCGAAGGAAGTTTGGATCGATTCGAAGAAAGCACAAGATAGTGCTCAGGTCGTAAGTTTTGTTCTCTCATGCTATGCCGACGATTTTATTAATATTCTCATTCGCAGCTTGGTAAAACGCTATACCACCAAGGTGATCTCTCCTACTTCGAGGCAGTCAACAAGGAGACCCTCAAGAATTCTTATCAAAGGTTTGAAGAAGAGGGTATTATCTTAGTTGCGAAGAATAAAGAATCGCGTGCCGGTCCGTCTCTCAGACTGGCTCCTGAATGGGAACCCCGGCGTGACGAGGGTACCGGAAAGGTTCTAGACGGTGGTCGACTGTGGGACTTTGTTGAATTGATTGCACAGTCCCGTCGCGAGGGGTGAGTACATTTTCTTCACACTGTCTCTGCCAATATACTAACTAATCTTTCACAGCAAAAACCGTCGGGACGGTGCAACTGTTTCCTCCCGTGTCCTTACTATGTCTGATCTTGTTGGGCGGAAGCTGTTCCAAAATGCCGCCGCCCCGGTGCCTGCAGATGTATCGTCACGGCAAATGCGCCGCAATGCAATTGGAACCGAGGCAAAGCTCTAGTCATTCCCTTTTGATACCCATGTACGCATATTGTACAGGCTACTTCTACATCTATGTCATCTCGTATGTCAAATTTATGGTTTTAATTCACATATTTTAGCAACCATCTCCTTGATGTATGAGGACAGGCGCTGTGCAGGCGCTCTAGTCACATCAATTTAAGAAGTTAGGTGGTTCTGGTACCGAAGGCTCCCCATACATGTAAAGTCGCGATTGTAAGCACAGGTACTCTCTCATCCCTCTTTCAGTAAAGCCACACGCCATCTTGTTCCATCTTCCCTTCAGCCTCGATCCTCTTCAGGCATGTCTTGACCCTGTCCACGACATGCTCGTCGCTTTCTACTTATAACCCCTATCGTCCACCTGAATTTGATCAAGGTTTCGTCTGTCCGATGCGGGAAACCTGGATGGCATGGCAGCGCCACGAAGAAGAGGTGACTTGTCTGTCTAGCCTTCTGGACTTTCTACCAAATGAGCGATCTTTAGAAACACTCTCATTGAAAGATCTCATCTGTGACGGCAATTATTATTATTTTGAAGCCAACGGATACGGAAAAAGCGGCCGAGTGGATTTTGACATTAGTAAAGCCAATCTATCGTTAAAAGAATGGATTTCTCGTTTAAGGCCAATTGCTAATTACCCGGGTTCTCGCATTCTCGACAGCAAGAAAGACAAAGGTTAGTAGTGCCTCTCTTTTTAGTCCCTGCGGTTACTGATAGAGTCTAGAAATCGAGGACTGGTTCGACAAAATGATAGGAAAGGACAGCGGGTCATTCAATAGGTTGAAATGTGACTGCAAAAGAAAGAAGAATCCGTCGTGGGGATGTCCATTTGGATGTCATCGATATTAAGAAAAAGTTAGTTTAAATTTATTTCAATAGCTTTGCAAGTAATTGTGCTCTGGTATTGCAATCTAGACACTGCATTCAATTCAATTTCTACAAGGTACAGAAATTGAAGATCTTCCTCATTATACCAAGAAAAAGGAATTTTTGTAAAAAAATGTAAGGGCCGGTTAGTTAAAAGGAAGTATTATAGACGAGTGTATTACGGAGTGGGATTTTGATTTTTAGCCTACGGTCCGGTCCGACTAGCGTCTAGACCTCGACAAGTCCCATGGAACTGTAAACAGTGCAAACATAAGTTATGAAAATTTCAGTCTGTATAGAGCCTGTTTTTAGGCCTTAAATAAAGGTATTATTTAGATTTCTCTATAGAAATATATTAAATTAAGGATCTACCAACTATATAAATTACTACTTAGCATAGAATAGGGGGTTCGCTAGGTCACCATTAGACTTCGCCATAAATAGGCTATAAAACACTTGAATTTTAGATTAATTTATAGATATTATTAAAATTTAGTTTATAAACGGTTTATAGTGGCTTATTACTAGGCTCTTGGTTGGGTACTACAGCACTAAGGCTTAGGAGCACCAGACATTTAGTTCGGTACTATAGTGCTGCAGCGCGAGTGCTATAGCACGTGTAAACACAACTAACCTGAGCGCGCGGCCCTCCCCCCCATGAACCTCGTCTTCCGGCTGTATACTCCGCACAACACGGGAGCAATCACATCCACAATCTATTTTAGTGGAGAGACGGGTGATCGTCGCTTTCTAGTCTCGAGATCAGCGGACTCCAACTGGGCGGTTAAGGAAGCAGAACTCGAGCGAATCGTTGCAGTCCAATCAACACCATTCACGATGGCCGATAGAGCCCCATTTTACCCGGGCTTTTACGCATCAGGGCCGCCAACTCATAATGAGGCTTGACCTGAGGCATGTTTGCATGTTTGCCAAGCCCTTCTACTTTGATCATGTTGCAGACACGTGTGCATACTGACCAATAGGCGTCATGCAGGCTATGGCCCTATCCAATCTGCCACCAGATAATGTATGCTCCTGGTCAGACTATAATTAACTTGAATGGCCAGAACGCGCCACAACGTCCCTGAGGCTGCCGATTTCTGGTTGGGTTTGTATTAGCACAAGGCGCACTCTTGCACCGCCCACAGCTACTAATGAACTTGAAGGCCGACATACGCCTATAATATATATATAGGATAGTACTTCGCCCGATGGTCTCCTCATACTGTAAATTCCGATATCAACCCTTCAGGGAGATTAATGCTCTGAAAGAGCATCCTACCCTTTTACAAAAGCATCCTAACAATCCGTGTCCACACATCCAACCGTTCGAACCCAACCCCGAGAGCACTGAGTCTCTGCCTTCAATATGCCACGATATGCCCCTCCATCGGACGCAAGCTCGTCCGAGTTTGGTTATAGCACAGTAGGTCATAATGACTATCGAGATGATGGTGCGCATTCGTTTTCTTCTTTCTTAGCCTGATACTCCGAGGAGTATAGACTGATAATAAGCCAGATGATGGTTGTATATTTCCTGCGTTCCCTGAACGGTCTGAGAAAAAATGGGTTCGATCTACGACAACAGGACTGATATGGTTTTTCATTGTGGCATTCAGCTGCTACCTTGCGATCGCCGTTGCTGTCACCGTGATATTCGCCGTGAACACAGACAATAAAGGGGTGTATCAAGGCACCGCGGACTTCGCTCTGTATAAGAATACCATGTTCAAAGATTGTTATGGCAAGCCCGCACTTGACAACGCGAACAACTGCACTGTCATCGACTCCTTCTTGAAAAAGAATATGCCCGACCTTGCGTCGCAGGGGATTTCATACGTGTACAAGCTGGAATACAACCATGTGGAGCTACCGGATTCTCAGAGGATTTCGTACAGCTGGTGCCAAATAGCGGGTTGTTTCAACGATTATAAGGTCGTCCCAAGCAAACCGCGTTCTACGGCATTTTGGTCGACCACCATTGGAGCGCATACCGAGGTTGCTATGATCTTGGTTGCGGCATTGTGGCAGATTTTAAAGCTTCACAAGGCCCAATACACCGACGACACGGAGCCGTGCAAAAAGATTGAATGGGATATTTGGATGATCCAGTTCTGGGAGCTGGTCTCGGTAGGTTGGTGGTGGTTCGACTTTGGGCGACACGTCACCGATCGATCAACATACCCAGCACCTGGGGTGCTCAGCTGGGTACCGCTTTGGAAGTATGGCTATTTGCTGAACTTTCATCCTTATTCGTGCGCCCTCAGACATAACCCTAGAGCGGCGTTGGTGGGCAAGTGGGTGATGAACACGTTGGCATTCGTGCAGTGGGTGATTTCGGCGCACCTTATGAATTCCAGTCATTCAAGATCCGCGTATTCCACATACGACTGTCTCGCCTCACAGATATCGACTGCACCAGGAACATCGACTTGTCCCGCGGAGCAAATTTGTGCCCGAGATATCCTCTTTCGCTCTTACAACTTTGCCTTCTCTGACGAGAGTATGGATCTCACCGACCCCAATCATTCGATGTTTGTGGCCTTCTGTATTTTGAGCATCGGAGTCGTGGGGAGATTCCTTCTGGTTGGCGTGTTGCCGGTGGTCCTGCATCTGATGGGAAAAGGATCCATTCAAGAACTGAAGGCCAAGGTGTACGAGCATGATATCGGTTACGCTGGAAGCGTTGGAGGAGCATCTATTGTTTGTATCATTGTTGGGGGATTAACCACTGCTGGCGCGATAATCGCCTTCGGGCATGGTCGTGAGAGTGCTTTTGTCATTGACTGGACCTGCAAAACGGTGCATGTTAATCTGAGCGCTTGGCGATATTACTTGGATGTAGAGTACGAGCGACCATTACGGGTGGTGAAGATGTGGTTCAACGTTTGAAGTGGTGGGCTGCGAGATTTTTGGGTTAAATGTCTGTCTATGGTACTTGTGCTTAATACTATAATGAACGACGGACTCCTTTGCCATAGAGAGTAGATATGTGTTATATTTATGCTCCCATTTTAGCATTGGTCTCAGCTATTCTGCATTTTTATCCTGTAAATGAATATTGTCATACTATAACTGTGAGTTCTAGGGGTTGGGTGAGTTTCGGGATAACCTCGGATGTTTCAAAACATTATATATCTAACTGACCGGAATCTATCTAAGCTCCCTACAATAATATTCTAATATAGAATTGTTCTCCATGAAGGTCATCTCCCCAGAAAACAATCAATATCAGAAACATGCACACCGGATTTCGCAGGGACCTGGGCGGGAATCCGGGGTGAGCGCGGAGTCTCCGCATTTGCGCCATTTTGTGCGTCGACAGGGATTTAGGTGATTGCCAGGGTCAAAACTCTGCTCAGATTGAGATCCATTTCAATTCACGGCACGGCATCTAAAGAGACGGGAATTGCCCGAATTGGCACGGGAAGTGTCTTGGAGTTCCGCCATGATATACCCGAGTAGGGCTAAAACCCATTTATGGCTCCGAATAATTCCCTTCAAGGACTAGCATTAGGTAGTGTCATTTCACATGCAGTAGGATATGTTCATGCCTCACAACGTCAGCCGATGAGGTGAAAGCTCAATATTCCCAGGGATACTGACAATGTGTCGGCTTATGCCACTCAATACTCCGTATTCTTTTCGACAAGTCGTCACGTTGCGACGATTATTGCTCAAAAGATCTTCAACGTGGTTTCAAGGGGGCTGTCTGCATTCCGGATAGAGACTGAGAATAGTAAATATCCCCGTCGGGAAGACATATAAAGTAGCTCGCAATGCCTTCAATTCCAATCGTATTCAGATCAACAACATTCCCAACAGTTTACTGCTCATCACTCATAAGACAAGATGCGTTCTATTTCCTCCATTGCCTTTCTCTCCGCGATAGGAGCAGCCTCCGCTCAAGCTGCGACTAGCTCAGCGTCAGTCTCGACTTTCTCGACTGCGGTTTCCTCAACCGCACACCCTTCGTCCACCCCCTTGAACCCTCAGCCCACTGGCAGCAGCTCTTTTGCCAAGGTGGATGGTCTCGAGTTTAACATTGACGGAGAGTCCAAGTACTTCCCTGGCACAAACTCGTATTGGCTGCCATTCCTGACCAACAACGCGGATGTTGATTCCGTCTTCAAGAATCTGCAGAAGAGCGGTCTCAAGATTCTCCGAACTTGGGGATTTAATGACGTCAACACCGTCCCGGCGGCTGGGACTGTCTACTTTCAACTCCACGACAAGACCGCTGGTACCAGTACCATCAACACTGGCGCTGACGGTCTGGAGCGTCTTGACTACGTTGTCTCCACTGCCGAGAAGTACGGCATTAAGCTTATCATTCCATTTGTGAATTACTGGGATGATTATGGTGGTATGAGTGCCTACATTACCGCCTATGGAGGCAGTAAGACGGAATGGTATACCGACGAGAAGATCCAGAGCGTGTACCAGGCGTACATCAAAGCCATTGTCTCTCGATACAGTGATTCCCCTGCCATCTTTGCCTGGGAGTTGGCTAATGAGCCTCGCTGTGCGAGCTGCAAAACCGATATTATCACCAGCTGGGTAACCAAGACTGCTGCCTACATCAAATCCCTCGATTCTAACCATTTGGTCACCACTGGCGAAGGTTTATATTCATGATATAATCAAAACTGTTGATATATTCTAACCTGTGATATAGAGGGCATGGGCCTAACTGTCGGATCGGATGATTCTTACCCTTACACCAATACCGAGGGCAACGACTTCGCCAAGAACCTTGCGGTCCCTGATATTGACTTTGGAACATTCCACCTCTACGTGGCCGACTGTAGGAATATCCTCTGAGCATCCCAAACATGCAGCACACTAATCCATCCTAGGGGGTATCACCGACAATGCTTGGGGCAATGGCTGGGTCGAATCACACGCCAAAGTCTGCAAGGCTGCTGGAAAGCCTTGCCTATTCGAGGAGTACGGCATCAAGGGTGACCATTGCTCCGACTCGGTGGATTGGCAGAAGACTGCCTTGACTACCACCGGTAATGCTGCTGATCTGTTCTGGCAGTATGGCGAGCAGCTGTCCTCCGGTCCCTCTCCAGATGATCAGTACACCATCTACTATGGGACTGATGATTGGGAGTGCGGTGTTGCTGATCATATCAGTCAAATTTAAGAGTTCAGATGTCTGAATACTGTTATGGGGAATCGATCTTCGCTGGTATCTTTCGGGCTCTTCAATCTCTGTGTTGATTTATTGTTCAAATAGCAGCATTTGACTCAGTTGAGTGGATGCGTCCCCAACGGCATGCATTGCCCACCTTTGTGATATAGCTTACTAAAATGGAATACATACACGTCATCTAGAGACCAATTATATACATTTAGTGTCAAATTGTCGATTGAGGTGATAATATAGGCTAGCAGATGAAACGCTAGACCTTTTTCTACGAAAATATTGGAACCTGATACTTCTGCCAATGCTCTAAAGTATCAGCCTCTGAGGGTTTTTCAATCCCACCCGCCGTCCATCCTCACCCACTTCCCAATCACCCAATTCGAAGAATCGAGAACCGGAGAAGATTCCTACTCTCTTGGAGTCCACGTAGAAAATAGAAGAAAGGGAAATTCTTATCTGGAATCCATTTCGATAATCGCAGAAACCGAATGGGTTTAGGACTCAGGCGCGAAGCGAGGTCGAATAGAACTGGGGAAGATTTTTCCCACCATGTTGTAGGTGGAAGCGAAGCTATATCTCGTCCGGTACCAATCTATGCATGCTCCAAGATTTTATTGCGAAGCTTGGCATATAGCTGAGGGTCAAAAGACGGTTGCATTTTGGTATGGAAGTAGATGAGTAGGGAGTAGAGAGGAAAGGGGAGAAAGACCTTCCATCCACTTCCGAAAAGCAGGACCTTTTTGGCGACACTACATTAATACTCGTCTTGTATAAAACAAGTAGTTTCTCAGATCAAACAATACGAGATTTATCAGTTCAGCCATGGTGTATTTGAAGTTATATATCATGAACTGGTTAGACACGATATACGATGTGGAATATATAGCAGAGTGATGCAGTGGCTTTATTCTCAAACTCACTAACATTGTGGCTGTTTACATACAATCTTCAAACAAAGCTATAGATACTCAAACATGAAAACAACATAACAATCGAATCCAAGTCCGCTGAAACGTTCCCAATAAAATCTCAAAACATATGTGCGGCAAAACAAACGATGAAATGACAAAAGGAATGACAAAAGAAAAAAAACAAAAGAAAGATGGCTCACTCGCTATAGAAACATATATCAAGTCACCGAAACAAGCGAAATCACAGACTCCTAAACTGGCCCTTCGGGCTCGTAGGAGCTGATCGAACAGTCATAACCTTCGGAGAGGAAGCCTCGATCTGTGCCAACCTGTCAATAGCCTTGACAGCCACAGGCGTCTTAGGAGGCGACTCAGTGACCAGAGCATCAGAAGACTTCTTCGCAAACTCCTGAAGACGGCCCATAATGACCGGCGAATCAGAGTACAACACAATACCCTGCGAGTAAGTGCACCCGGTAGCTTTCTCTTCATCACTGGCAAAGTCCTCATGAGCCGCCTCGCGCGTAATACGCGGGAAGGTGCGCAGCACGACATGGCGGGTGGGCTCGTTTGTCGTGGTGGGCTTTTGATCCGTGTTGGCAGCGTACTCCAGCCAGCCCTCGTTCGAGACACTCTCTGCGTCCGGGGCGGGGAAGTTGGCGAGGACGAGCTCGCGCTCAACGCGCGCGTGTCTCCATGTCTCAGCGGCGAGCTTGACGATCTTTCGCACCCCGATTAGCAGGGAGTCGAGGTGCTTGGGATCGGCGAAATGCTTGATGTGGTCGATGATTTCGTCGACAATGACGGCTGCAGCTACGTTGATTGATTGTTTTGCGTCTGAGGTTGTGTAGGCTGCTTTCAGGGTCTGTTGGCGCCAGAATGCCTCGCGGCGGACGGACTTGCGTCGGATGTCCATGGATAGCATCTGGAAGAAGGTGTCGGCTTTATCGTAGCGCCGGCCTAGGGTGAAGAGGAAGGGTTGGAAGACTCGGAAGGTGAGGGTTTTTGAGATAATGTGCTGGATGTAAGCACATCGGAGTTCGCGGGAGGCTGGGGTGTTGTCAAGGAATGGTGGAAGTTCGGATGGAATCTTGGAAAGGATGTCTTTTGGGGGATCGATGGGGAGATATCCGAAATGCTCTTTTGATAGATTGTGGATGAGTTGCGAGAGCTCTGTGAAGCAGTCCAGGCTAAAGATAAAAGTATTTATTAGATCGTGTCCATTTATCGTTATCAACATATCAACATGAGTCTATAAGATAATGTATGACCGCTGTGCGCTGATGCAGTTCAACAAAGGAAATATAGAGAATGAATGACTTGTCTTCAAGAGACGAAAAGCAAAAGAAGAAGAAGAAGAAGAAGAAGAAGAAGAAGAAGAAGAAGAAGAAGAAGAAGAAGAAGAAGAGAACCAAAAGAAATTCAAATCCAGAGGACTGTAAGGGCTCACTTACAAGAATTGATCGCCCTTGGTGTTTCTGAGGTCAGTGGCCTCGCCTAGGCTGGACAGTGTCTTTCTCAGCCTGTCGCAATCACCACCCAGGTTATCGATCGTCATTCGCATCCCATCCACGGCACGCTGAAGGTGCTGCTCCTTGACAATTCCGTCTCCTTCCAATCTTTCCTTCTCTCGCTCAGCACTGGAAAGTTCGCTGTTCTTCTCGGATAGTTGCTGCTCCAATGCAGCGCGCTCCGTGGTCCAAAGCTGCTCTTTCTCGTTGAAGTGAGCTTCCAGAGCCGCGATTTTGTCGTTCAATTCTTTGGCAGCAGCAGCGAGTTGTTCGCCGTGGGATTGCCGTAGGGAGTCCAATTCACCAGCATGGCCTTGGCGGAGTTCTTCCGTTTCTTTGGCGTTCTTCTGGTGGGTTTCTTCAAGCTCTGCCAACTTTGCTGCCAGTTCCTCACGTGTCGATGTGAGTTCAGCGAGTCGGGCTTGTAGCTCGGTCTCCTTGGATTCCAAAGCAGCGATCTGGGATGTCACTTCTGCCTTGGTAGTCTCCAGCTCGGTGCGCTGGGTTTCAAAGGATTCCTGCAATAGGGCCTTCTCTTTCTCCCATTCACCTTGACTAGCTTCGTGGGCAGCGCGAAGTTCGCGCTCACGAGTCTCGAGATTCTCGGCTGCTGTTTTCTCATCCTCGGCCTTAATCTCCTCGAACAGCTCGGTGAGCTCTTCTTTCTGTGCCGCAAGCGCCTTCTCCTGCTCCTCCTTCTTGGTCGCCAACTCTTTCTCGTGGGCCGCCGTTGACTCACTGATGTTTTCATTGAGCTTGTTGATTTGTCCCTCGAGTACGACCTTGGCTTCAGTAAGCTCCTCGTTGGACTTCTGGTGGACAGCCAAGCCATCTTCAAGGTCCTTCTGCTTCTCTTGCAGATCTCCGAGTTCGAGACGAAGCTCACTGATGGTATGCTTCAATCTGGCGCCTTCTTCGGCACTTTCATTGGCAGTCTTCTTCATTTGGGACTGCAAAGCTTCAATGTAGTACTCCTTGTGAATCAGAGCTTGCTCGTGCTGGCTTCCAATGTGCTTCATCTCAGCCTCCCGGCTCGAGAGCTTGCTGTGTGTATTGCGGAAACCATGAAGGAGACGGTTGATGTCTGGAATGGCCGACTGGATGCGCTGTAGAAGCTCAATGTGCTCACTGTCGTTTTCTGGGGGAGACCCATTCTCGTGGGAATGGCCGTTGGCCATGGACAGGTTTTGAAGGGCCTGAAATGATGCCTGATACGATGGATCTGGGATGCTGTAGCCCCGGCTCATATAATGGGCCTCCGATTGGTGATGGGGAGAATAATATCCATAAGGAGGTATCATTCCAGCAGAGCTCATGACAGGAGATTGGAGAGAATGCGGTCCACTTGGGGCCACGGAAGGTGGCGCTTCGGAAGGAGCCATCGGTGCAGCTGGTGGATTCTGAGGAGGGGGAGTTGCAGTGGGTGATATAGTTGGAGACATTTGAGGGTAGTGGGAACGTGCAAGTGGGCTGCTGACTTTGGGTACCGGCGAGGAAGTGTATGCTACTGATGGGGCGTAAGGCGCCGGGGAACCAGCGTAGGGTCCGGGTAAGCTGTAAGGCACTGGAGAGCCAGCGTAAGGTGTGGATGAGGTGTAAGGCACTGGGAAACCAGAGTACGGTACTGGGGCGTACAACGCAGGTGAGGCGTAAGGTGCTGGTGAAGAATACGCGTTGGGCGAGGTGTACGGCACCGGGGAGGCAGCGTACGGCACTGGCGAAGCGTAGGCGTTTGGTGAAGCGTAGCCTGTTTGAGAAGCGTAGGCGTTTGGTGATGCGTTTGGCAATTGCGCAGAATAGGGGACGGGTGAAGCGTAAGGTGAATATGGTCCAGGATAATAATGTTGGTTAACCTGGGAAGGACTTGACATATACCGTGCCTCAGTCAAGGATGGCGAAGGCAAGGGCACACAGGCGGCCACAGGGGAAAACGGGTCGACTGGTGGTGATGAGACTACAGTCGTCTCTTCAGAGCGCTCGACCTGGTTAGGTTCGTCTTGCTTGGTATGGTCTTCCAAGGGCTGCTTTAGTTCTGGGTCCTCGATGGGAGGCTGAGCCACGTTTGATTCTTCCGCGGGTGGCTCTTGGGTTTCGATGTTCTCGATGGGAGGCTGGGTCAAGCTTGACTCGTCTAAGTGCGGTGTGTCCAACTGAGGTTCGTCGAAGTGTGGTGCTCCCAACTGTGGTGCTTCGTCAAAAGGCTTGTCGACTACAGCTGGTGGTTGATCCACGATCGGGTCGGTGATGTCTTTGGGTGAAGGTTCGCCGTCGAACGCCTCGTATGCTAGTACGGGGTTTTCGTGTACGGGTGATTTTGGATCCGCGACAGGGTCGGGGATGCTTTGAAGTGCAGATGTAGTGTCTTGGTCAAGTACCTCGTATGCTGATACAGGATTGTCAAGTACAGGTGATGCTTGATCTGCGACCTCCTTGGAGCTGTCTTGAGGTGTCTCGTCGTCAAATACCTCGTATGCTGATACAGGATTGTCAAGTACAGGTGATGCTTGATCTGCGACCGGCTTGGAGCTGTCTTGAGGTATCTCGGCGTCAAATATCTCGTATGCTGATACAGGATTGTTGATCACAGGTGATGGTTGATCTGCGACAGGCTTGGAACTATCTTGAGGTATCTCGTCGTCAAATACCTCGTATGCTGATACGGGGAGTGGTGTCTTTACTTCCGTGTCAACAGCAGGCTCTTTTATTTGTTCTGGTTCCTGCGCCGTAAGTTCAGGGCTGCCAGGAGCAGGAGTAGTCGTAGTTGTCTGAGTCTCTGTGACTTCTGGGCTCTTCCCCTTCTTAACCTTCTTGGTGGCAGCCTTGCCCTTGTCTTTGGCCTTAGCCTTCTTACCCGCGGCCATAGCGGTAGATTGATGCGTGCCCAAGACTTCTTGCCTCGTGAGAGACGTGTTACCAATAGGATCAATGTACTAAATGGAGCATATGAGTAATAGTTCGGATCATATGAGACGACTGCACTGTACATTTGCAACCAGCCCTGTGGCGATGCCTCAAGATATAGCCCAAAAGTTGACTATGGGGATGTACTAAGACTTTGGAATATTTAGAAGCGTCAGCCAAGTGGCTTCGGTTGATCGGGCAGAGAACCTGAAACCTCTTGGACAGAAGTGGGCGCGAATGAAGATCCACGAAATCAATGTAAATATTTCGGGGGTGGTAAGACCAATTGTCAATTTCTAAGAAATAAAAAAAGGAAAGAAAAAGATGAACCCGAAAGAAACAAAATATCTCGAAAAATTAGCATCCTAACGTTGTCTGGGCACAATAGCGGACCGACCCTTAGCGTGTTGATACCCATCCACCCCCCAATGTGCGAGAGGGCCGTGAATTAGACGCGAGTACCGAGAATTACGGAATTTTGAGAGCACAAAGAAGTATTGAATCCACCCATATTGCATTCTGGACTGAAGCGAGTCCAGTTGGGAGACGCCATGACAGTTGGGCATCAAACTGTGGGTTTGGGCAATTCCAAAGGGCAAGGCTTAGTGGGGGGACTCGACACCGACAAGCTGACATGTTCAATTGAGAGCCAGACACTATATGTGGATTAAAACGAGGCGATATATCAAAATGTATTTCGCCCAATTAGTGTAGCCTTTGAAAAGCAAATAGTGAGGCTGTCATCGGACAACATTGGACAACATTGGACAACACATATTACTAGTTGAAGTTTCGAGCAGCTGGACATAATATGATTGTCTACACCATATGCCAAGTAGATCGGGCTGCAGTTTAATTTTGGATTTTTATTTTTATCTGTACATTGTGCAGTGTAGTACTACATCGGAGTAGGGAGTCCGTACTATTGCCACTATTAATTATAGGGCAATGTGATACTAAATATGCAATGGGTTAACCAAGAGATATGAGAGAAGCAAAATAACAGATCAATTCTAATTCTAATTCAATAATGGATATATAAGATTACCTATAATTAAACTAATCAACTATTAAACTATTAACTAACTAAACAATAAACTCATACATGCTAATAATGGAAAATGATGTTGTTCGTCACTCGATCATAGAGAATGGCCCTAAGCCCAATATGAACATCACGTGCCATCGACTTTCACTTTCCACCTCGCCCTATCATCGCTCCCCAAAGGGTCATCGATCACCACCAATTGCTTCCCTCCACACAATGTTCGCTGCCAGACGATCTGCTCCTTCGACGCGGCAACTGCTGCGCTCCCAGCGCCGCTGGGGCTCCCACGCCGCACATGCGCCCGTGAACGAAGGCTTCGGCGTAAGCTCCCCCGCCCGCGACCAGCCTAGAAACGGAGCAAGAAATGCCTCAAATGGCCCACGACCACCTAGCTAACCATTCCATGTCCACATAACAGCGCAGCTTCTACGTCACTTCCGGCTCCATCGCATCCGCCTTCCTCCTTTACCACGTCAGCAAGTCCATCGATGAATCCGGCTCCCCGTCTTGGATCTCCGACCTCATTACCAAGTGGACACCTTCCCAGGAGGCCTTCGAGCAGCGCAATGCCATCCACACCGCTATGATGGAGAAGGTTGCTCATGACCGCCACTTGCTCGGCAGTCAGGGCCCATCCGAGGCTTTTGCCCACCGACAGCCCGAGTATGTGATGATGTTGCCCCGGAAATGATGTGGGTTTTGTGCTGATTGTGCTTTTTTCTCTTTTATCTAGTATGATGAACGCCGGCTCTCCCTACAACGTTTCGCCCGGTTCCCAGGCCGACCTGAGCCATGTCGTGGCTCACTACCAGCGCAAGAACCAGCAGATGGAGGAGTCTCGGGTTGCGCGGATGAAGGACGGCAAGGTTGAGTCGATCTACGACTAAATGGGGTTATCTTTTTTTTCTTTGGACGGCTGTCTGAAATAGACATGTGTGGAGGAAAAATCATGTACATATACGTTGGGACTTGACGTTCAATCCAGCACCTGATAATTGGATTTTCTTTTGTTTTTGAACCTAACCCTACATTCGTGCTGAATATTCGTTGAATGCTGACATTGGATGTTCATTTTATTATCGAATTGACTCTAGGGCCCGTTTGATGGCACAACCTCCAAAACTACTCTGCCCACGCCCTCGGATTGAACATCCAGTTTCTGCTGCACGTTCAGTTCATTAGCAGAGACATTACCCAGCACAGCAAGGAACTCGTCAACGCCTCCGCCAACTCCGAAATAGACCTTCTTCGCCGCGACAAGAGCCCGACTTCTCACCGAGACAGTGTTTGAGCGGCGTAGTAGCGCCAAAAGCGTCTCCGAAAATGCGGCCAGTGATGCGGGCGAGTAAATAGTCTCACTAGCAAGAACCAGAGTCTTGCGAGCACTATCACCGGACGAGAAGACCAGATCTACAAACTCGGGCGACCAAGCGCCGGAAACGAAATCAATCGAGATCCCACGCTGAGCAAGATCGTTCTTGAATTCTTCAACCAGCTCAGGCGTGATATCCAGCTCTTCATCCTGGTCTCGCGCAGTTGGCGCGGCTGAAACAGCCGTTTGGGAGCGGGTATTGTGCCATGTCAGAAGGAGATTCGGGAGCGTGACAAGACGGAGCACGTCCGAGTTGTAGTCTGCAAAAGTAAAGAGGGTCTTTCTTTGGCTCTGGCCGAGCTCGGCTTGGCTGAGAAGACGGGCGAACAGCGTCAATGATGGGACTGCTGTGCCTGCGCCAAGCTGTTTATTCGTGTCAGCCTTCTTACTCCAGTTAACTGTTCGGGAAAAGTTTCCACGAGATGGATGATTACGAACCTCAATTATATGGATGTCTGCTGGGCTATCAGAGGATTCGTTGAGAATGTCCTCATTGACGGAGAGCTTAGCTAGATCCAGAGCACATTCCCAGGTTTTGAAGCCGCCTTCATAGAAATTGGGCGTGATGTCGCCTTTTTCAATACCGGCAATAAGCTCTTCATTATCGTGGCCTGCACTGTCTTCGGCCATGAGCTGGGTGCGAATGTCAAAGATCTCTCGACGAGCGACAGCCAGAGACGTGTCGATGATTGCGAGCTTATTGTAGAAAATTTGAGAGGGAAGAATTGTAAGCTGTCATCTTGATTAGATTCTGACTCTGCTGAAAGGTATAATGCATTCCAAAGTAATGAATTCATGCTTTTGTCGATGATAGAGGGCAGTATCTCAAAGGCCCGAATTGGGATTTAGAATATACCTGCCAGCTCGAAACATCCATAACAAAAGCAATAGCATAATACACATAATTAAGGATGAAATATGTTGCTTGATCACTTACCCATTCATTCATATCATGTTTAATCGCTTTCACGAGCTCAGGAAGAGAATTGCCCACGGTTTGCTGAGAGGGAACATCGGAGAAATCTTTATTGGTCTCCAAGTCATCAATGTCGATATCATCCCCCGAGAAGCCGAAGCTGAAGGCCATTTTCACTTCAATAAGATGGCTGTCTCTTCTTCCAAGACACCTAGTACTGTGTATGTGGGTTGTCTGAAGTAGCCCCGATGTTGAGAATTTGTCGGAATTGCAAGCTGCCGACAAACTTGTACTTTTGACAGAAATGTCCGCTTCAAGGGCAAGGACTAGCTGATTAACAGTAAATCAGTTTCAAGGCTTTCTTTTCACAGACGCTGTGATCTGAACTCCATACAAAAAATTGCAGTGGGTGGAATGATGACTAAGCTATAATTTGCCTCAGGCTGCATTTTTGTATACCTCATAATCTGGATGGATAAAAGATACCAAGCTAGAATACAAGTAAAACGCATAGAAGAAAATGAAAAGGCGAGGATAAATCGTCACAAAAAGGACATTCTGCTATAGAAAAAAGGTATCAATTTGAACGTGCGGTGGCCTGAAATATGGTAAAGTGCATTTTCCCCCGTATTTGCTCTAGCACCAATACCCACTGTAGGGCCATCTCCCCGGTCGACAATCGCATCAGGGCTGAAAATCCCCAGGCATTCGTTATTTTGGTAGTTGCTGTAACATATAGGTCCTGAGATGTGCCTTGGGTGTGTGATCAGTCGGAATCACGTCTAGGCCTTTTGGATTTCTTTATGTCAGCAAGAAGTTGATTCGCATGAGACGTGAATAGTTTCTGTTGCGAGCAAGAGTGTATAATGTAGCGCACATACTTTATCCGTAACGTATTTTGAAAGTCTTGAGGTAGAAGTGAGTTATAATAATTGTAAATAAATGATTTTGGTGATTGTCTAGCTCATAATGTCATATCCAAGGAACAACTAATCCAGTCTATTCTACATGATGTTTAAATGCAAGCCAAAAACATAACAAATTAAGAGTTGCGTTTAAGCCTTCTTAGCAGCCAAGCTGAGAGCCTGCATGACATCAGCGTGCAGATCCACGGAGTCCTCAATACCGCAGCTCATGCGCACAAGGTCATCAAAGACACCAGCGGCCTCACGCTGCTCCTTGGGGATACCAGCGTGGGTCATGCTGGAGGGCACCTCACACAGAGACTCAACACCTCCCAGACTCTCGGCGAGGGTGAAGATCTTAGTGTGCTTGCAGAAATCGTGAGCAGCCTGTTGGCCACCCTTAATGCGGAAGCTGAGCATACCACCGCCCATACCGTCGCGGTGCTGCTTGAGAGCAATAGCGCGTTGGGGGTGGGAGTCAATGCCGGGGTAGTTCACGGAGATGACTTGGGGGGGAGGCCTCAAGGGCCTTGGCGATGACAGTGGCGTTCTTGGACGCCTCGCGGGCACGCAGGTGCAGGGTCTTGAGACCGCGGTGAGCGAGCCAGCAGTCGAAGGCGGAGGGCACGGCACCAATGGCGTTCTGGAGGAAGCTGAGACGCTCCTTGAGAGCCTCGGAGCTGAAGGCGGCAACGCCCATCAGGACATCCTAAATTTTAGTTAGCAAGATTGATACTAGCAAAAGTCTTGATTGGAAGTAAGAACTCACGGAGTGGCCATTAATGTACTTGGTGACGGAGTGGACGACAATATCGGCACCGTGGTCCAATGGGTTCTGGACATAGGGGCTCATGAAAGTGTTATCGACAACGACCTGAATGTTGTGCTTGTGGGCAATGTTGGCAATAGCCCGGATATCCACCAAGCCAAGGGTAGGGTTGGAGGGGGTCTCAATCCAGATGAGCTTGGTCTCGGGGCGGATCAATTGCTCGACATCCAACTCAATGGAGGGGGTGAAGGTGACCTGGACACCGTGCGCCGAGGCAACCTTGGTGAAGTATCGGTGAGTACCGCCGTAAACATCGGAGACGGAAACGACGTGCGAGCCAGCAGCAAGGGATTGGAGGATGTTGGCGGTGGCGGCGGAGCCAGAGGAGAAGGCAAGAGCGTACTTGGCGTGCTCGAGGGCTGCAACGGCTTGCTCGAAGTTATCGCTGCGGGGATGTTAGTCCTGGTCAATGTGTCGGTTTGGACTAGTCAACTGACCGGTTGGGGTTGGAGCTGCGCGTGTACTCGTACAGACCAACGGGGTTTCCGACGCTGGTCTGAGCATATGTGGTGGACAGAGAGATCTATTCAGGGCGTTGTTAGGATCGTCTTATCTTCTCCATGGCTAGATGAGCTTACAGGAGCAATGACAGCGCCGGTCACCGGGTCATGAGGGGAGCCGGCGTGGACAGCCAGTGTTCCGAATCCGCGCTCAGCAGTGTGTCCATTTTCTGTGGAGGAACCCATTGTGTATAGAGAAGATGGAGAATTGAGAACAATTGAGGCGAGGGGTAGTTTATATGTTTATCGATAAGATGAGATCACCTTCTTTGTATGAATCCGGACAGTGTGGAATTGGAACTCGGATTGCGAATCTGATTGATAATCAATGGCGAGAGGGACAATGTCTGCTTCCGGATGTTTTCGTGAAAATTCTACCGAAAAATTTTTTATTTTATCTGGAACACATTATCTTGCGTGCCACCCTGGGGGGGGCAGATGGCGATGAATCGCAGGATTACAACTGGACAAGAGGCCGGCGGGGCTCCACCGGGCCAATTCTTCTCGGAGAATCAGTTGGACACTCCGATGCGTCGGAGTGTCGGAGTGTTCGGCACTTGCCGGGATGTCCTAATTGGTTCTACTATACTCCTTTGTTCAAAAGATATCATGTCTTTACTTTACATTTGGGGTAAAAGTTACACGGGGGATTTCGTTTGTCAACATTAAGTTTGGATCAACTTCTTTTGTCCCGTATTAAGTAGGTCTATATTGTCAGCTGGACATATTACGTATGTATCTATAGTTGGCTTATGCGGGCTCAAGTCTTTGGGGTAGTCTTTTGAAATGTCTTTTTACATGTCTTCTCGGATGTTTCCTTAGATCTAATCGTATTTATACTTCTTCCAGTTTTTAGTTGAAATATAGGTAAAAACAGCTGGAAATGCGCAAATCAATTTCTCCATGTATATAACATTTGATATTCATTGGTATTGATTCGTATGGGTATCTGATCTGACTATGAAAGAAATTGTATGGGCGCTGAGAAGGGGCCGCGGTAGGTCAAGCGACAAGAAGACAGTCTAATTTTACATCAAATGGTGTGCTGGCAGCCTACCACCAAGTGATGGGTCCCGTTCCACCCATTTGCATCGAGCCCTATAGGATGGTCAGTGAGAGTTGCAAATTTCCAAGATTGGGGGAAACCAACAAGAATGGAATACGGAGGGCGCCTCTCCTGTGGAGTTTCATCTGCAAGATCTGGTGCATTGGGGATTTGGTCATGCCACTCTTCTGATTCGACACGGAATCGAACAACTTCTCCTACATCGAAGAAGAATTCTGTCCCGTCTTCGCTCTCCCAGATCCATACCTGCTCGGCATAGTCGCTGCAAGACACATTAGCGTTTTCAGATTTGACCACCAGGAAGGATCAGCTCACAATCGGGACTTTTCCATAAGCATCTGTGGCGGGATAAGGATATCATTGAAGAATTCAAGGCCAACTGAAATTCGTTAATATTTGACGACTGCGTTTTCGTGTTTGGAGCATACTCTTGATTCCATGCTCGGTGCCGCTAGCAATCTTTCCTAGCATGATCTCTCCCTTGAAGGGTCGGAAAACAATCATGCGGAATTTAACTGTGTAATATTTAGTCAAGGTCTCGGGAGTGATAAAGGGCTGGCATCATCTACCGTTGACATTAACCAATCCAGTTCCGTGACCAATCAGGCCATCGGAAGACTCAAGTAGGTCATAGAAGCTAATGCAAAGGCCAATTTTTTGAATGACCTAGAGGGCAGAATAAGCATTAAGAAACTGGCAGGAAGAAGCTTTGAATTCCGCACCTTGTTGGCATATTTTGCATTGATATTGTCTTCAAGTGCGACTGCACTGAACTTGGAGAAATCCTCGGGCGAAATCTGGATCAAGTCCGATATGGTGGTCTGCAGGTGTTAGAGAAAGTTTTTATATATGGGCGTCACACTTACTAAGATAAACATGGTAATGGTAGGAAAGGCAGTGACAGAAGGATTGATCTGACTATGCAGCAACACAGTGAACAGGTGTGAGTCTCTTTTCCTGTTTTCCTATTCTCGTCGTACCCCAAGAAGCAATCAAAAACCTTTTGAGATTCTTCGTCCGCTAGAATCCCGCTCTCACGTGACCCCGGAACGGAAGCTTTCAATCTCAATCTCAACTCCGCTAACACGCTAAGATTACGAGATTATTCCTGTGTTTGTGCTGGGGTCTCTGGAAAACCCAAAGACTCTCGTCATGACCTCGCAGGGATTTTCTTTCCCGCCCCCGCCTCCGCCGCCGCCGGCAACTAATCAGGCGCCGGCTCAGCAATCGACACAACATGGACAAAATTGGGGCGGACACGGCGGACATGGTGGAGGACATGGCGGAGGTCAGCGGGGACGTGGAAGAGGACAAGGCAACCGAGGCCGAGGGGGAAATCACGCAGCAGGTGGACAGGCGCCATCGTATCCTCCCCCTACAGGTTACAACTACGCGCAACCCATGTATGGCGGATACCCTCCTCAACCTCTTCCAACGGCACCTTATATGCCTCCCCAACCCTACCATCATGGACAGCCGCCAGCTTTTCAAAATCCTCAAAACCCGCCCCCGTACCCATCCCAACAATACCCCCAGTCGGTAGCTTCGGGGAACTATCAACATTACAATACGCCCAACCTTCCTACACCTTACCCTCCCACACCTCCGACGTACATGCAAGGTTTACCAACACCTCCCCATGGCCATCCACCAAACAGTCAAGCAATGATGCCCCCCATGTCATGGCGCAATGATATGCCCGGCACGGCGCCATACATGGGTGCTCAATCGGGACAAGCCCGAGGGCCACGACCTCATGCGCATGGCAATCAGGGTCCGAAACCCAAGCATACCCAGAAGCGGGATCACTCGTCTGCATTCAACAAGCCTCAATCCACTGCACCACGGACTCCCGCTGCACCTGCCGTCCCAAGCTTCGGCAACCCTCTGCCCTCGAAGCCACCACCAGCCGCTGACTCCACAGCTAACAGAAAGGCAAAGAAGAGAAAAAGGAAGCACAACCAACTCGGACTGACTCCTCAGACCGAAGACCACGAGTCAAGCGAAGAAGACGCCGATGAAGATGAAGAATCGAAGCTGGCGCAAGGTGGATCTGATGCCGCACCACTTCAGGTCTCATACAAAGGAAAAACATCTACCTTACAAACACAATCCGATATTGCTGCTTGGATTGCAGAGCGGAGGAAGAAGTTCCCCACTAAAGCTCGGGTTGAAGAAAAGAAGAAGTCTATGGAGGAGGCAAAGGCAGCCCGAGAGGCAGCTCGTCAACAAAAGCAAAAGGAACAACAGGAAAAGCGAAAAGAACATATCCAAAAGCAAAATGAACAACAGGAAAAGCGAAAAGAACATATACAAAAGCAAAATGAACACAAGACAGATCCCGCTGCAGATGCGGCGACCAACGCGCAGCGCAGGGAGAAGATCCGGCGTAACCTTGAACGAGAGGAGAAACGAATCCAAAAAGCCATGGCTGAGACTGAAGCTGCTCGTCTCAGAATGGAAGCTCTACAGAAGGAGGCATTGAGCCTGAATGCAGACCTTAGCCAAGACGAAGATGCGGGCATCACGACCATGCAGCAAGACCCAAGCCCGGACCCAGTTATCAAGGCTGAACCCGCAAGCGCGGTGCCAGAACCAACCATCAAACCCGAACCCCAAATCGCAGTACCCGAGCCAGCCATTAACACTGAACCCGAAACCGCAGTTCCGGAGGCAGCCACAAAGACTGAGCCTCGGGACCCCATTCCAGAGCCCGCGCAATCGACTAACCCCGCTTCTCTCGCGACAGAGGCGCAGGGAGACCCTGGATCCTTGCCCGAGTCCAATATCGTGCAATCGATCAACACCGAACATCCTACCGACCATGGCTTGGATGGCATGGAGATCGCATCCGATCACGGGGCCAGTGATTGGACGTCTTCGGGTGCTTCTAGCTCAGATTCCGACTCCGACTCTGACAGCGACGACTCCGCGCCAGATCAAGCAACTTCACGTCGCACAGCTCCAGATCGAGTGCCGCCCCCACCCCGCGAAGGCAAAAAGACTGTCTGCCGTTACTTTGCACGCAATGGGCATTGTAACCGTGGCGACCAGTGTAAATTCCTTCATGAGAATGACCCTGAACGAACCTCAAAGGCCAAGGCAAAGTCTACGGAGAAGAAGGAGAAAGAGACGAAACGCAAGGGACTTTATCAAGCTGTGAGAGCCCCATTTATTGATTTCGTGGCTCCTATTGAAATTGTACTGACACAGATTAGTTGCTGGACCGACAGACCGAAGACGATGACCGCCGGGCAATGGAAGTGATCGTCTGGCTCGGTCAGAATAATATGTTGGCGGATTGAACGCCCCACACGATACCCCAATAAATTAGCGTCAGAACTGGACGATCTACGAAATATTCATGCGCAAGGAAAAAGGTCATAGCTCGGAGGCGGAGGGGGCTTTGGCCGGATTTCCAACTTGGATGAATATCCGAATCTTAGTGTGGCTCTCCCATAACACGCGAGAGCAAAATAGACCAAAAAAAAAAAAAAATTTATGTCCAATTCTTTTCACAATGTGTCCAATAATTCTCTAAATTTATCTTTTCCGGATCAGACTCCTCTAGTCTAAAATAGCAAGAGATTGCGAAGTGACTGTAGCCGACGAAAGTGGATCTACTCATTTAAGGTCACGTCGAGGTTAGACCAGTCAACGGAGGCGATTGCCTGCCAAGCGAGACAATGATGGCCGTTAGTGGTCCAAAAACTCGTGGGATCACCGCCACGCTCTCGTTGCCCTCTTTTCACTCCTCTCGGGCCCTCGCGGGCCCTCTCCGGGATGTACAACGGCCAATCAGTCGCCTTGCTTCTTTTTATATTTGTTTTTATTTTTCCCTTTGACTTTGCTGGTCTTTACTTAGCTCCTCCATGGGGTCCTCTTATAAAGCAAAGAGTAAATAACCCCGTGTCCGGATCTCCGGCCTTTTATTCCATATTTTGCCTCTTTAGCGCCTTTCACTCCTTTGAGGCCTTTTGTGATTTCACTCTTTTATCTGCTTCCACTTGAACATCCTATTCTTCATCTCCAACCTTATATATACATTCATAATGCGTTTCTTCATCTCTCTCGCTGTCGCCGCCATGGCCGCCGTCGCCTCGGCTAACAGCAAGGCCAACCCCTTTAGCATCCCCGTCGAAGGTTACACCTTCAAGACCGGCGAGCCTACTGCCCTGACGTGGGAGCCCACCACCGAGGGCACTGTCAGCTTGATCCTGCAGTGGGGAGCCGTCATGACCGGTAACTCCGGCACTGTCATTGCCTGTAAGCCATAACATCAAAATGACTCAATATTCCCCTATATACTAACCTTCCCCAGCGAGCATCAAGAACGACGGTAGCTACACCTGGAATGTTCCCTCCAGCCTGGCCGCCCAGCCCGACTACACCATCCGAATCGTCTCGGACGAGGATAGCGACGACTACAACTACATCGGCCGTTTCACCGTCGAGGGCTCCACCGTCTCTGTCTCTTCTTCCAGCGCTAGCTCCACCGAGTCCACCACCGACTCTTCCACCAAGGCCACCCGCACTACTACCTCAGATGAGACCACCTCCAGCTCTGCGGCCAAGACCACCAGCGCCTCCACCATGACCACCGCTTCCAGCACTGTCGCCAGCACTTCCGCTACTGAGACATCCCAGAGCGCTACCTCCACTTCGGCTAGCGCTAGCGAATCGGCCTCCCAAAGCGCCGTGCCCACCACCAACACCGGTGCCGGTGTTGTCAACCGTGTCTCCGGTGGCATGCTTGCCATCGTTGCCGGTGCCTTGATGCTGTAAATTTCAATGCATCCCGATCTTGTCATGAACGAGACCTTGTTTCAGAGTCACGTTCACATGCTTTATTGATATATACATATTTTTTTTCTTCCCTTCTCCGATTGGCTGTATTTGAAACATCCAATTAATTTGTTATTGCCTCCCTTTTATGGGGCTGTACAAAACATTCCGTCCTTAACTACGGTCGGGATTCTTATGTTTTTATATATTGTGTGCCCCAGCGTTAACGGTATACTTCTACAATCTATTTTTATGTGTATTCTTCAACCAAAAGAGGGGAAATTAATTAAATTGGATCGTCCCGCGTCCGCTTTTTTAATTGTAGTTTAATCTCGCTTATTGTCCAAAGTCCTTGATTTTTCTTATAGGGCTTGTTTTTTGTGTTTTTTTTTTTTGTATACAGTGCGAATATTACCCCAGATGCTGATTCACGCAATACGAGGTCATCTCAGTAAGGGGGCCAAACCCCCAGGGGGATTTGGATGCCTGAATGCCCTCATCCGACTAATATTCATCCACAAAGGAACCGATTAATAAATTCAAAGTCCCTGGAGATCTGGCTCGAGTTGGACTTCTCCTTCTCAATCCAACCCCCAAGATCAAATCAGGTATGCATCCTCATAGTGCGCACATTGGCTGCCTTCGAATCTGCCCCGATAATGTTATATGAATACAACTACTCAAGTGTGTGCGAAACATGATCAACCCATTTTTGTCGGAGCTCGGAAAATTTGGGATCATGTCCATCAATGCAATAGAGAGCTCCATTTACAATTAATGTATGATAAAACCAATACCATGACATACTCACCATCCTCAATCAACCCTTCCAGTTGTGATGTGAGAATCAGGAGATCGAATTTAGCCATCCGAGTTTTTAAATAAGTGAGAATCTCTCTTGTGGTAATACCTGTCCACCCCACAGACCATCTTGAAGAAGCTAGGCTGTCGTTGCCCATGAACGTATATCTTGCGAGGTATTGCTGGTAATGCAGCTGACTCTGTACTAATTGGAACCTGGACTTCCCTATGATGGTAGATAGGAAAAGCAGAGTTGTCGACACAAGATGGTAAACGGGCCCCGATGAGATTTTTTTTTATACGGGAACGAACTTGTCTCCCACTAGCTGCACAGTGTAGTTCAATTCTTCTGCAAACAGACAGTCCTCAGAGTGGACTTTTAGCTCGGGTCTAGGGGAGCAATTTCGTGGAAGTTTGGTAGAAATGGTTGCAAGATCCAACCATGCATTTTATCAAGGGGGTCTTCAAACTCCCCATCCACATATACCCTCAGACTCATCAGGAATCCATTCTGGTTCTTGACCTTGAACGTGTCGAGGATATTCGGCCAGGGCAGACGAGCTTGGGAGCCTGGAAGTAAAAGAAGGGATTTAATGCGTTTGTTCGAGACATTAACCATCAACTTCGTGTCTGCGTCTCCGGTGCTTGATCTAAATGGACCAATATTATAGATGGGTTGCTTCTGTGCCATTATTGGCCGTCGAATTGCAGCGAAAAGAGAGAGAGAGACTAGTCTTGACTAGAGGTAGTAGAGTACCTCTCCGGACTCAATGGAGTAATCAGTAATGATCGACAGCTATCGGTGGAGATGGTTGAGAATCTAAGCAAACCTTCAGGATTTCTTTTCTCCACATTAAGGACTGGGGGCATTGGCCTTTGAAGGGATAGCTTTGATGACAATTTTGGGTCACAAAGTACATTTTGCTTCTAACTGCGACCTTGGGTGATTTCATTCCAATTTTCTAAGTTTTGCGATTTTACTATCAAGTCGCGGATCTCCATGAATTATGGGAATGCGAGTTCGTATAGCACTGCCAAGGCACTACATACATCGCATGAACACCTACACTCCAAGGTACATAAAACTATATACTGAGACATATTATAATACAAAGTCATCTCGATCAAGGCTTGTTCATCTTGCCCCTGTGCCTGACTCGTGACCACTCACACATGCACTAGGTACCAGGTACCCCTCTACGATGAAATGCCAATCTGCTGAACCACCCAGCGTTTCAGTTCTCCGTCAACGATGTCATTGCCATCTGGACCACCACATTCTTATCCAAGATTGAGAGGGTCTAGGGTTCGGGCTATGCTAGGCATCCGTATAATAAAGCAACCCTGACATACAACATAATAAGCCCCCAATTCTGCATGTCTCTTGACACACCGCATGAACAACATGGGAGTTCCAAGGAAACTAACTATAGTTCTCATGCCTCGCTTGAACAATAACCCCCTCTCATCATCGGAAGCTCAACTCCAAGCAAGGGTCTTCACAAATTTATGATCGCAGGAACACTCCGCTTCACCTCGTGTCTGCGCTGCGAGGAAGCAAAACCCCTAGCGTTATGCAGGGTTTTGCTGGATATCCCCAAAAGATCCAGTTTAACTGGTCAAGTCAATAGGTCGGAGTCTGGATCCGGTCTGATCTATCAACCACGCCCTTTCTAAAGAAAATGTGATTGCCTATATGCAATAGATGCAGAAGCCATGCGGCAACTGGGGTCGTCGTCATCCACTTTCCTTTGATATCTTAATGAGTCCGCTAGTTCTTGTGTGTTACTTTGCACGCTTGGCCATCGGTTATTGGTGGGTTGCTATGAACGATGACAGCTGGGTTTGCAATGACCGAACCCCTAACTTACAGCAGAGTCTACTGATGGGCCTGAGGATCCGAGATCCATGAAGAGATTTTGTTTCATTCGAATGTGGACTGTTCGGCATAATTTGCTTATAAAGGTCCTTTTACACCCCTAGGGATTGGAGTTTTTTTTTATTTGCTCAGCTTTTTCGGATATATCCATTTTGGTTAAGATCTATCCAACGAGAACAGGGATCTATCATGTTATCTAAATTTCTTTTGGCGTCGGCTGCGACCCTCGTGGCGCTCTCTGGTCTGACCAATGCCCAGACAAACATCACCGAGAAAGACTGCGCCTCCACATCCGAGTACTCGAAGTGCAACAGGGATGTCGCGGACAAGTGGAGCTCCTGTCTTCGAGGCTGCAACGGCAATGGTAACTGTGCCGTGGATTGTGGCTGCGAGTCCCACCAGAAGTATATTAACTGTATGGCGGAGTCGTGCTGGAACCAGGTATGACTTTTATATACTCTTTGGTTCCAAGGAACACCATGACTATGATAACCCAATGCTAACAATCTTTCTTTCCTAAGGTCTACTCCTGCAAATACCAGCTCTTTGTCCAGCAGTACTTCGCCGTCTGCCCCAGCGCCAAAGAACCCATCCCCTTCTGGCCACCACCAGACAACGCACCAAACCGCTGCTCCTGCGATCTAGGAAAGGTCACACAAACAACTCTATCATCCCGTAACCAACAGATCAAATGTATGCGCGATGTCACCGACAAACTCACCTCCGACATTGGCAACATCGCAGATCTATCGAACCTAAACCACGGTCTCGATATCGCCAACCGCGCTTCCGACTGTGCCTGCTGCGGAGCCAGCGCTAGTATCTCCGCGTAAGTGAAGCCCAAAAGCAACCAACCCCAGCCCAACACACCAACTAATCCCAACCACAGATCCTGGGATATCTGCCCACACACCGAACCCACCCTTGCTGGCGCAGACATGTGGGGAGTCTTCTTCCCCTCCGATCTACCAAATCTATACACCTCCCTACCAAACTGGGCATGGTCGTCATGCGACTCCACTCTGGAGGACAAGAAGTGCAAGGACCTTGGTTTCACGGACGCGGACAAGTTCTATAAGCCCGGCGATCTTCCTAAGAACGGTACATCGACATTGTACGAGGTCGGCGGTACGCTTACAGCTCCTCCTAGCGGTACTGTTCTCGTTTGGTCCCAGTCTTCGACTACTTATACCGTTAGTGCGACTGGGTATGACCGAAAGGCTGTGGCCAGTCAGAGCGAGTACCGTGCTACGGCTACCGGGAGTGATGCGGCGTTTGCTACGCACACTTCTGATAGTGGTGCTGGAGCTTTGAGAAATGGTGGTATTGGTGCGGTTGTGGCTGCTGTTTTTGCAGTTGTTGTGCTGTAACTTGGATAAAGTATGGATAGACTGTGTTGGTAAGTGGAGGGGTGGTGGAATTGATGTTTCTATGGTATTTCATGATGTGATGTGACCGGATTATGGGGTGGTATGTGGTGTTGGCGACTTATGTGGTGCGTGGCTACTTTGGACTTACTGTTATGTTGGGGTGGAAGCACTGGATATACTACTCAAATGACGATGAATCCGACGCATAATTTGCTTTCTTAAGTCGAAAGGCCGATGTAGTACCACTCACAGCCTCGGCGTTGCTCATGCTTTTCAAAAGCAAGTGCTTGGATTAAAGTGGTGCCTACTGATGATTACTGGGGAAGACATTTCGTGGATGTGAATGATTTGAAGGGGGAGAGAACGCATCGCTCTTGATTGTAGCCTGTAGAGCTATAAAATTATATAAAAAGGCCCCGAAGCCGCCCAGAACGCCAGTTACTCCACAGATATCGGTATCAAACCTTGGAATCATAGCCCGCTAGACAATGCACGGGCACCGTAGTCAGTGTCCTGTAGGACAAGAGAACACAAAATCTACAAAATCAAAGATAAGAAACTATCATGCAACCCACGACGGGACAACCCGCTTCAGGAACTTCATGAACTTCCAAAACCCAACCGCATACTCCTCATGGCCATATGGGTCCACAACCCGCTCAGGGAACGCAATACCGGCACCAAACAGCCCGGGAATATCAGATGCACAACCAGGCTCGTGGAACGTGCCAGTGTCATGATCAAAGCTCATAAGAAGGGGTGCACCGTCCTTTGTGAGATCAGGGAGCGAGGTACGGCTATACCCAACGGCCTGGACAAGATAGTCACACGCGGGTAAGTACTTCTGGTACTGAGCAGCCTCGATCTCCGGCCCACCGGCGCAGTCAATCTTAGCAAGGACCTGGCCAGCAGGTGAAGTGGTAAGCTTATCGTCTTCCAGTTCGGAGCGAGCAAAGTTCGCAGCCAGGCCCTTGAGACCGGTGTTATCGCGCAGGATCCAGCCGTCCTTGTACTCTGCATAGCGGAGGGGGTGGCGGGTGAACCAGCTAATGTGCAAGAGGGGGTGGGAGGTTTGGGCGAGCCGGGTGAGGTTTAGGATGGCGAGAACGGCGCTGTGGGATGCACCGACAATGGCGACGGAGATAGGTTTGTCTGAGGGGAGGGTCTCTGCTAGTTCGGAGGGCTTGAGGACTAGGTCGAGGTCCAAGCGCTGGATATCCAGTCCCGCGACGGGGATTGGGGCTGTTGTGGGGAAGGAGCCTGTGCAGAGGATCAGGCGGGTTGCCTCGATGATCTCAAGATCTGCGGATGAATTCTGTTTGATCGAAATAGTCCAGTTGGAGGTCTGGATGATGGTATAATTAGTTTGGATCCAGAAGCAGTGCAATAAAATCACTCACCGTTTCGTTCAGATTGGCTGATTTGACAAGGCCGTGGCATGCATATACTTGCTCCATCTTTAGTAGACCGTCTGTCAGGCCGAGGACCATATCTGCTGCATAACCAAGGGTGCAGGTGGATTCTTGGTCGAGTTTGGCTAATTTGGTGAATGCATTAGGTGACTTGGTGTTATCGATGACTTTCTGGAAAGGCTGTGTGGCCTTTGCAAATGCTTGGAATAATGAAACCTTGGTGTTGCTGGTATCTTTGTTAGTATCTCCCGGGCTGTGTTTACGCGTCACAAGTGTTCGGTACAAACCTGGGAACTTCGCGATACTTGCTATGGACTCTGCCGGCCTCGAAAGAAGGATCAATCCATGCGATTGTACCCAGCTGGCGCTCCAATAAGTTTCCCATGACGGCAACTCCAGCTGGACCGGCTCCCACAACGACCGCTGCGCATTTCCGAGTAGCCATGTTTTGTGATCGGAAGATGGGAGTAAGAATAGGAAAGTAAAGGAGGCAAATCCAAGATGTGGAATGTGGAATGAAAGAGTAAAACAGTTTTTATTTGAGGAACTAAAATAAACAGAATCGTAGCAGATATCGCGATGGGGTTGTGACGGGGTTTAAAAAGGGGGAAGTATCGGCCAAGACCCAGGGAACATCATCGCCGATGGAATGTGTGGTATTTTCATGCAGATAACGCAACCAGCACCCAGTCGGGACATCGCCATAGAGCGGGAACTGTCATTCTCGCTCAGCACTGGAGGTCCCCCCAGTATACTGTGACACATGCGTGGGCTCTCGGACGAGATGGGTCGCCGGTCTATCGACAAGTAATAGCCAATCCACCCTGCCCCGCTGAGGATCGTTGTCCCAAAATTGGCGTCACATTTGGCGGTCTGTGATGCCCGGGAGTATCAGACGGCGACTCATTCGGTGACTCGGGATTCAATCGGCGATTAAACCCACCGTGCGCTTCCCGTCGGCTTGTCGGCCTGTCGGTAGTGTCGATCCGTATGGAAAGAGGTGTGCTCATGGCATAAACACCATTTTCATGGCGTAGGCAGGAATGTAGCAAGTTCACGGTAGGACTGCATGACGGCTAGCATTTGGAAGAAATAGAAAAAGTACAGCAGATCGAGGAGGCCGTTGGCTTTATATTGTATTGTTTTGGCGTCGATCAGACAGTCTTGGCAGAATGGCGTGATCAATTTTGGGCATCGAAGCCAATCACCGCTTAGCAAGTATACACTGGAGTCTGCTATTGATCTACAACATAAGATGTATAAAGTATTATTTTGATAGATTTAGTATGTCGGACAAGATCCATATCTACACGTGCTTCTCCTTGATCTAAGTCTCATACAGCCCAATATATCCTCACGCTCGCTCGATAAACGTGGTTTGACCAACCTGGAAACCTCGCCCTGGCCCAAATGGCAATCGAATCGCCAATCTTCAACTCACGCACTTCACGTCCATCAAGAGTAGCCCGGCCACGACCTAAGGTCTTCTCAATTTCAAAAGCCTCGGGCGAGTCTGCCTGAATATCATCTCGATTGTCCCAAATAATCTTATTGTGCTGCATTTCGCTCACATGGGCTCCATTGACCTGCAATTTGTTGTCACGTGGCAACAGCAGCGCATCTGCCTCGGTATAGTGTTTTCGGACTTGTCCACGTTCATTGTCGAGGATCTCTTGCTCAATTCCTTCGACATACATGTTCCTCTTATGGGCCTCGCGAATAACTTCGGCGTCAAACCAGGTCCATGAGAACTCATACATGTTATCGCGGCGTCGCCCGCCGCCTTGGTCGTGAGATGAGATATTGAAGACTATCTTGCGACAAGGGTGTACTCCGCGATGAGGTAGGGGAGTAGGGTTCGATTCTTTCTCTAAGCTCTAAAGGAAACAGATTGTCAGAATGGATCAGCTAACTTGGGATAGGATGGATATACATTCCGATCATAACAGAGGGGAACCGTCTTGAGCAAAACTTGATCACAGTCTTTCTGGATAATCCGTTGATATTGCATTTTCTGCTCTACCGATGGCCAATATTCCGCAGTATCGACGATCATATCGATGAGCTCCTCCGGCAGACCGTGTGGGAGCTTCCATTGAAATAAATGCCGAACATTGAGTACATCCTCTAGGCTGGGATTAAATACTTGAGGTTCTGGATCTGGGATACACTCGTCCGACCCTTCAGATTCTGTGCCGCTCGTATCTGCAAAAAGCTGGCCATTGGTTCGGCGCAGGTTGCCCGGGCGAAGTCCAAAGGGCACCATGATCGTAGTAATGCGATTTTAGGTGCTGACTTAGTGAACTAGGGTTTGGTGGAACCTGGGCACGTATAGATGTCAACGTTGGACTTTGCGGTGAATGTAGTAGATATTGATTCGGCTTAGGCAACGGCACCGCGCACAAGGATCGATCTGGTAATGATCTGTACGATTGAACTTTCTTTTCGTGTACTACCCGAGTTAGCTATAGTCTTTATTTTCGTCGAATCGTTTGGCGTACATCTCACCCCGCATACCATATGCAAGTTGGAAGTAAGTGGTTCACACTTCGGAACTATTGACTTTTCCGAAGGAATTCAAATTCAAGTGAGACCAAGGGATTTAAATAGTTATTGTCGGGAAGAAAATATGTACACATGTGATTGATCAATTGATTGATGTGGCTGTTGATCGTGGACAATGACGTCAATATCTCCATTTATAGCTCATGCCCAAAGTACGCGGACTTGGATCCTTCGAGTACCCCGTAAATATAGTGTAAATATGCATGTCTCTCGAATTTTGTGATCTTCATACAATATATTCAAATGCCCTTCCTAACGCCAAAAGATACAATATGTTTATTTTCAGCCCCGTCTGCCACCTGCAGCTTTGTATGCGGCAGCACGCTTGCTGCTTCTGCTTTCTCGCTTGGCCTTCGAGCCACGGCTCTTTTGCTTCATTCTGATAGATGATGATCCCTCGGTAGCGCGGTGACCCTCAAACACGAAAGAGTTGCCAGCAATGGTACTGTTGGCATCGGCCTTGACCTTAGCCGCACCCGCACGACCCAGTAGCCTATTAGCACGTCCTTGCATCGTCTTCTGGGCCTCATCGACACGAGACTTCTTGGCCTCAGGACCGGAGGGTTCGCGCTTCTTAGCGATCTTGCGCGCACGTGTGACACGCAGCTTGCGGGGAAGCATGGGCGGGAAGTTCTTTCCGTTGAGTGGAAGTGACTCCTCAACACCGTTGCCGTCATAGAACTGGACATAGGCGAAGCCTTTACCAACACGAGTGGTGCTGTCACGAATCACGCGCACGAACTCGACGTTCTTCTTGATGGCCTTCTTGTCCTTGCCTCCAGTGTGGGCGTTGAAAATGCGCCAGAGACCCTCCTCAATATCGGCAGGAGCACGAACCTTCTTCTTCTTGCCGGTCTTCTCGTCCTCTTCGGGAGTCTCACTGTCAATGAAGGACAGGTTGCCGACAAAGACACAGCGCTTGTGGTCGATTTCTGCGGGGTGAGCAAGACTGTCAACTCGCAAGTGACGGTCCAGAACCATGGTGCCGTTCAAGGCGGCGGGGGCCTTGCGCGCGGCGAGGAGAGTGGTGTAGACAGCGTATGCGTTGGTGCTGGGTGTAGTCTCATCGAGAATCTCGCGCTTCGCGAAGGAAGCACGCTTGGGAATACCACCGCCACTGGCGAATGCAACAGAGCGGAAACGGATCGACTCGATCTTATGCGGGCCGGTAGATTCAGGGAGGGTCGAGCAGAAAGAGGTTAGGTGCCTGAGAAGTGTCTTCTTGGCGGTCTTGGACTTGATAGCCTCGGTAGAGACGTTGCCCAGGAAGACAGTGCGGTTGGACTTCTCAACTTCATCAGCCTTGGCGGATCCAGTCAAGCTCTCGTGGACAGGTGCAGGAGCGGTCTCCTCTTCATCGCTGTCTTCTGATGCCGATGCTTTGTCGGAATCCTCGCCTTCATCATCTTCCTCATCTTCGCTACCTTCTTCTTGTTCGGTCTGCTTTTGGCGCTTCGCATGCTCGGACTTCCTCTTTTCCTCGTCCTTCTCCTCCTCCTTTGCAATGCGACGCATATATGTCTCCTCAACCTCCTCGGCGGCACCGCCACGCTTGCGCTTCCGGTTCTGTGTGTCGGTAGGTTGTTCTTCCTTCTCTGCGACCTCAGAATCGCTTTCTTCGGCAGCATCCTCCATTACTTCATCGCCTGACGCAGATGATAAGTCGTCTTCAACATCATCTTCGTCCTTTTTCGCCCGTTGAATGGGCTCGACATACTTGACAACGGGGGCTTTGACAGGACCAGCCTAGATACTGTCAGTTCAAAATCCATTAGTGGCATATCAAGACAGACATACACTTTGCGCAAAAAGTGAGGACAATGTTGGGTCCAGAGAGGCACCACCGAAGGGAAGAGTGACAGCGGGCTTGCTGGTCTTCTCCTCCGTCTTGGAGGATGACTTTGATTTCTTGCCCATTTTGATATGTGTTTGGTCTGTGTTATAGTTTTAACAAATGAGTGACCGAGACGTGGCTTTGCGATTGACACTGCGCCGATGATAGCTCCGACTTTTTTTTTTCCTTTGGTTTCTGCTTATCGGGTCTTGGCACGGAAAGCTGCTTATCACATGACTAGAACATTCAAGAGATGTTCCTAAGATACATCGTACGTTGTATATGGTAGCTATGCGTGAATATCACCTATGCAGATCCTTTTCGTATTACTTATGATTCTTGTTTTTAACTACTGCCCCTTCACTATGTATTCCTGGAGGGTTCTTGTTTGAAATTGGGCGGTAAGCCTGTGGATGCTTGATTGCACCTATATACCATCTAACATAGTGAGACCGATGAACATATCCCTTTGTTCTGTTATTCTTTCCATGTTTCTTCCGGTATAAAAGTGCAATATCAACATATTATTATACAAGATGGCCTATCCCTTTTCACCTGCAGCTACGTCAGTTACAATCTCACGTGATTCCCTTTTTTTCTTCGGGCGGTGAGTCTTGCCCTCGCCGGAACGCAACGCGGCAGAATCAGCGGTCACTCGCTTCTGTTGCTGCACCCCATCATAGCGATCTGCTGCTTTTGCCTGCTGAAACCCCCTCTTTCGGTTGTATTTTCCCATCCTTGATCTTTTATTTGATCTTGATTACGGTCCCTGGCCACTCCTTCATGCCGTCAACCCCCCTGCGACTCGGTACCCTCGTCTTGTCCGCTTCCTAGCCATCCTCCCCTCGTCCTCCAGAGTCGGTCTGCGCAGGATTCGTCAGACCGAAGGCTTTCACGGCCTACAATAGTGGTGACACGCGTGGACTTGGACCCAAGTCATAACTTGCGTCTCAGGAACGCGGTGGTTTTGGGAATCGTGCTCGGTCGCGAGCAGCTGTGCTCATTACCGGCGTCGCTCCCGGCGCATTGTTGAAACGGTACGTCGCTTGTGACTCTACATCAATCCCAGAGTTTCATCTGGTCATTTTCGCGAGGAGGGAGCATCTCTGTGTCTTCTAGCACTACTGTGATCGGTACACTTGTTTTGCGCGGCCTCCAGTCCCTGTGCTGAGCGATTGTTACCGACTCTGGGGCGTTCGATGATCAATCTCCGCACCACCGCCTTCTGAGGCGCTGACCTATCTCTTGCACCCACCAACCAATTTTTGCCCACCAACTCCGTCTTTCACTGGTTTTGCCGAGTTGACATGGCAATTGAGCTAATTCGGTTTGTGGTTTCTCCAGATTCTAGATCGAAACGCCATCTGGTGGATCGGTGACCTTCCCCCTCCCTCACCTCACGCCTGCGGCGACTCTCAACCTCGCTGCAAGCAATCAACCGCCCAATATCACCCCAACCTTTCTTGTCTCCACTCATATTGTGTTGCGCCATATCTCTTGGCTGCATAATTGTTCATGGAGGTAGCCGAGAGCAGAGAACAAGCCCCCGTTGGTCACACAACGGGGGCAGAGTCCACAATTCCCAATGGCGACAGGAACCCTTTTCTAGACGATCCGCTCATGGACGATGATGGACGCTCAAGTAGCTTGAGTGAGATCGACGATGTCTCGGACAACGAGCCGTCCGACTTCGAAGATCCCATCAAATCAGACAAGCCAATGGAGAACGATTCGGAGGCCGAAACCGAGCGCATCGAGGATTCTCCACACAACAGCAACCGGAAACGAGACATCGTGCTGAGTGCCCCTAGTGCTGGCCCAAGTCCTAGCAAGCTTCATCAATCTACGACACTCGATGATGTCGACGATGAAGCACTTGTGGCAGACGATTCTCCTAGCAAACCGCGACGGTCTTCAAAAAACAACGGATTGACCGAGGATATTCCAGACCTCGGTCACCTAGGCGATTCCGAGCTTCCAGATGGTCTCGACAAGAAACGAAAACGCGTTGAGGTCAGCGATGAAGAACCCACGAAGAAACGCCGGAGCTCAATCAAGAGTGACTTGAGTGACCCGATCGATGATGATACCCCCCTCTCGCCCGAACCGCTTGGTAACTCCATGGATATCAACGACGATGGCATACTGGTTGACGAAGTTCCTGAGTCGGACCTCCCAGTCCCGCCTTCTAAAGGCAAAAAGGGCAAAAAGGGTAAGCGGAAAGGAAGAAGGACCCAAGACGCCGATGAGGAGGTGGACGCCGGGGTCGAAGGCACCATAGAGTATGTTGCTGATGAGATTCTTGGAGAAGACGAGGAGCCTACGGAACGAGGAGATGAGCCCGATGATGCGGAGGCGGTTCTTCGAGCCGAAGAGTGTAAGTGTTGCCCTTCATGGACCCTTTGAGCGCCATAAATACTAATGTTCTGTGCAGCTGTGAAAAAGATGTCTGCTATGGATTCACTAGCGACACTGGAGAAAGAATTTGCAACGTTACGTGACAAGTAAGATATCACCCTATCTCACACATGCTTCGTTGCTCACAATCATAGGATTTATGACGAACGGATATCCAAACTCAATCGCGAGTTGGAGATGCTTGCCGGTCCTAGCCCGACGCATCCAGAGTACTTGCGGCAGATTGAGTGTGTGCAACGTTATCGGGACGCCAAGATCAAATACGAGCAAAACTTGTATCGATACCGCATGAAGTCACTCATGCACAAGGGTCTAGCCGAGCGAACACAGGCCCATAGCACATATTACCAGCGGATTCGAGATGCGCGCGAGCGGCATTCAAGTGCAGTCAGCAAGCAGTTCTATGCTATTCAACATGATCGCTTCAAGACAGACGAGCTTAGCCCGCACCATATCATCCCATTCCCCACCCGTCGGTCGCAGCAAATCGCGCATCAGACCGCATATAACCAAGAGGTTTCAATTATGGCCGGTGTCGCCAAGTATGTTGGCTTCCCAGCTGCCCCGTCCTTGATGGGTGCACGGCCCACCGAACTTGATGATGATCTTGAAAAGATGGGGGTAAGTCATATATTCATCTAAATTTGGTCTGTTGCTGACAGCAGGGTATAGATTCCTATCGAGGCTCGAGCTTCGGCACCACGGCATTCATCAACAATGGCACCACGGACGAACATGTCTACCATGTCTTCTAACGCCTTCCGTTCGGCCGAAGAAGCATTCCTAGAACAAACACCCTGGGCAAACCCACAGCATCCTATCCACCAGCAGCAGCAACAGCATTCGCAGCTACCTCGACCACAAGGCCGTACATTTGAGCATCCACAACCGTCATCATATGCAACGCCGGCCGCTCAAAAGCGGGTGGTAGACATCAATGCACCCAATGGATCTGCATCCACCATTCCTGAGAATGCCTCTGCTGCGAACTCATCAGCCAACAATACCCCTTACGGCATGGAGCACGATCCAAGACATCAAACGCAAGGGCCTTTCCGCAACCCAGATTATGACGCCGATCATCGGAAATCCGGGTTCCGGTCACCAAGTTCATCTCCTTTGGATGTGCGGAAATCACAGCCGCATCTCACGCATGCCCTCGAGCACCGCTCTCCTATTACCGACGCCCCATCCCACAATCACATCTTCTCTCCGCCTTCTGCACGCCAAGGCTTGTTTCAGCCTTCAGCCGCTCTCCAACGGGAGAGCTCTCCATCCCTCCCGTCTAAACCTGTTGATGTGGTACATTACCGCGCTCATCAGTCAGGAATTTCCACAGGGTCTGGTTCAAATCACATGCCAAATCGATGATCGGTTACCTTTGGCGATTGTTTCTGAAATGACTAGTCAACACCCCCCTTAATACCCCAAGAGTCTCCCACCCTCTTTCATGCCTCTTATGCACTTCTGTGATAAACCCTATGTTTTTCTACTCAACTCTTGCTCCAGACGCAAATATATCTTGACTGTCATTTTCGCCTGTGTTGCATGAATGGAATACCAATCCGGGGTTCTTGTTTTTTGAGTTTCAACAGCGTTCACATGTGGGATACTCCCGTTGTCATTACTTCTAACTTTGGATTCGAAGACTTTATTTGAGTGGAACGGAATATTGTTTAAGCTGTTATTGTTTTTATCATCTGGAGTGTATGGGGTCTGGATCTGTTTCTTCGTGCCTGTGGTAGAGAAACATCTTTTGCATTGGAGTTTCTTTTTCTTTCTCCTTTTCTCTAGTCTCTGCTCTTCCTGGATATGTGCCCATTGATGTACATACGCCTTTATTTGATATCATAAGGCCTTCAACCCCTTTCTCTTCTTATATTCCTGTCTAGATCTTAAATTTATCATTGTACTCTTACTGCTATAGGATCTTCACAATCACTCTTATTCTTAGTCGGATTATTATTTATCTTACGGGCTCAGGCATTTAGGCAACTCCCTAGGCCTTGCCATCATTGGCATCTTCACTAAGCCATCTTCAATAATCTTTAAGAGAAAATTTACCTATAGCGGGGCTGAATCTTAGAACCATGGCGACGCCACACCTTCCCTAGCTCCATACTAAGTGGAGCTGATCTGATGCTAAGACTCACTTGATTTACTTAACCTCAAAAGCCTCATTATGGATGCATTGGGGCCGAGAAAGAGTCAAAGTGTGTCCATTTAGGGGGATTTATCAAAATTGATAACCAGACATTATTTGCGTATACAACAATCATGGGTTTGCATGCATTTATCTCAACAAATCCAAACCAGTTGCGTATATATCTGATTATATATAGTTACAGAAGCCTAAGTTTGCATATTGTTAAGTGACTCCCAAAAATTGAAAATTGAAACCTCATCCATCAGCGCATCAATGGTATTTTCGTCGATCGTTATTCCTGCCATAGGATCTTCGGCAGAAACATTCTGCGGCGGAGAAGACTCAGATGGCAACTCAGGGAGAACTGTTTGAGCCACGTAGTTTGGGAAAATGTAACGGATGGCTTCGAGAAAGATACCTCGGAAGACTGAAGAGCAGGGGTGGGCATGTTGCATCTGTTCCAAGACTATCATGCACACCTCTATTTTGTTGAGACCCAGACGTCTGGAGACGGGGTCGGCTGATTTGCAGTTGAGGAGATGGACGTGCATCGCTGGGACTAATAGCGGTGGCCTGGAGTGGTTGTTAGATAAGATGTCATTTACAGGAGAATTACGCACTCACGTCATGGGACCAAAGAAACCTAACAGCTTCTCGTGTACTAAATTATCAAGGATGGTATTGGTCTGTAGCGCTGCCGTGTTGATCTGATTTCTGACGTGAGATCGCCATGCTTCTTGGCGAGATGCAGGCAGCCCTTCGGGGTCTTTTGTAATGAAAGGACGATAAAAGGTGTTTATGAATGCTCTGTTCGCTGTCAGTGGCTGTTGTAGATGGATATGGCGTCAACACTCACTGGTAATGAAGCTGCAAGTGATACAAGTAAAAGGTTGCAAGTGGACTTTGTCCCGTCTCCTGATATGCGGGAAGCTGAAAGTGCAGAATCTTTTGCTCAAGGGCCTCAACCTGCTGGAAAGACGAACTGACTCTAAAGGGTTGGTAGCATAGGGTGAGAGTGTCTCCCAAAAGCTGAGTGAGTTCAATTAGCGTCACCCAATAGCCTGCCAACTGCGGCAGGTCTTTCGGGACATATGCTGCCGATATAGATTCTTCTAGTCCGGAAAAATCACTCAGCATATCATTTGCAGACGGCGGTACGGTATTACAGTCATTCATGTTGATTCTCAATGGACGGCCCATTGTGAGACTTAGCCAACGGTCTCGAAAGAAGCATGTCCACCAAAGACGGCGCCAGAGACGCTGTTGTGATCCAGTGATAGGTGAATTGGCGCAGACCGCGGCAGACAAACGATGCAGACCCATTGTTTGGCAAAGGCTAATGGCAACACCAAGCCAAACCCACGGTTGGGTGTAGGTATCAGCTTCAGAGTGGTAAAATCCCAAGAGAAGTGCTGATTGAAGGAGAACTGTGTGGTCTGTCTCACCCCCATTATTATGCAGGCACTAAGAGCAAGTCATTAACCAAGCGTAATTCGGGAATAGATCAAATACTGTCCTGCGTACCTTTGCACGAGAGTACATAGTTTCCTTCATCGCTTTCATGGACGAAAAGCCCTCTTGCTTCCAAGTATCGGCCGGAACATACTGTATCCACATTAGCTAGATTGTAATGCCACTTAGAGAAGGTAGGCTTCACATTCGCGGCAACATAGAAAATGCTCCATAGTAATATGAGATTGTATGGTTGACCGTCTCCACCGGGATAGAGGCGTGGAAGCGTCGTAGCGTCAATCACCGGCATAATGGGATGCACATGATGAAAGTATGCCCGCAGAAGTTGTTCGCATGTTTCTTTTCGAGGCATATTGAAGACTCCCTTGTACTGCAAGTATGCTTTATCCTCAGGAGATAGCGAGGCAGATGTCTTGGAAGTGAGCATGATATGCCTCGATAGAGGCTGCTCTGAAGGCGAACATATGTCAAAGACGGCACCAAACCCAGGCGAATCACCTTGAGTTTTGCGTTAGATTCAGGCAAAAACACTCGCACAGTGACTACAGACCTGTGTAGAATGGCGCTTGGCCAGATTTGTTATTTTTCCCGAGAACTTTGGTGGCGATTTCAACGCCAGTCTGCTCTTCCTCCCGACGCCGAGAATAATCCGGGGGATTAGATACACTCCTCATTTCAGCTAGCGTAGGGCGATCTACATTTTGCGAAAGCGTTTCATTTGGAAGTGACTGTGGAAGTGATGACTGTGGCATCAATGCATTGGAATCTGTGTTAGGGGGACGGCTGCTCACAGACGCAGTTCGGCATGCATGTCTCTCGCGGATGCTATATCTGTCAGCCATAAGCTCTATCCATCTGTAAGCAAACCTCACGTTTGGGTTTTTGTCGGCGGAACGTGGCATTCTCTGCCATCTTGCGTACAGCCTATGCACGGAATACCGGTCACTGTCACGCTACAACGAACTTTGCGCTGACGGCAATTTTGACAAGCAGCAGCCGATCTATAGCGACGTGTAGACATGATGAGCCTGGCTTCCAAGTATTGATGTATCGGTCTGCCGAGAAAGTCGGGTCGCCGAGTTTCGTCAAGTATATTAAAAGTGACCCGAGACAGCCGAGGGACAGCATTCCTTCCCGAGAGTTCCGAGGTACGTATTTTTCTAAGCAATTTGGCTGGGATCTGATATAAGGAGGAAAGACCTATCTTCACGAAAAAAAATAGCATGACAGAGAAGGAAGAAAAAAAGGGATAAATAAAATGAGAGAGCTATCTATCAGGGACAACGGTTGAGGTTATTACATGGGATGTCTGGATGTCCGAGGTATTTTGTCGTATTCCACAACGTAAATGTAGTCGATGGTATTCACTCTGTATTATTGTATTGGCTCTGCTAGCAATTTATATGAAGCCTTGATTGCATAACAATTACAACACATGTAGATGTATCCTCCTACCGGCGTCACTGCGCCAACATATTTTGTAGTATTCCGTATTGTGAAATGTAGCCCAATGGTATTCAACTCTCTGTATTGCTGTAACTATTCTGGCAATTTAACTAGTTAGTTATACTCTCCTGATTACATCAGAAATATTAACGTATGCCTCATATGGGCTCGTACCAGAGCACTAGAATAGCTCCGTTGTCAAATGGAAAAGGATATTTTTGACTTTAGACTTCTTTTTTTGACACCCGGTATAGGCCAGAGAAGGTGTTTCGTTAACGAGTCCGTTTTTAGATACTGAATGCCGAATCTGTTATCTCTAGGCAAGAGCTCAGAATATTATTCTTTGTATGGTAGGCGGAGGTTTAGATCTAAGAGTAGGCTCTGGAATTGAGAAATCGGAGAGTGAAGTCTAGGGGCTCGGGGGAACTCAGATTCTGTCACATTCTTATTGTGTGCTAGAGATAGAATCATCTAGTTATAGACACACATCTCCCTTTTTATATACAAGAATCAACATGTCTCAAAGAACCCAGCTAGGAGACCCACCTTCCCACTCGGCAATCCGATTGGCAGATCACCCCCATACAGTTTGCGCACCCTTTTCTCGCCTTTGTCTTGGTACTTTGCGAATCTCATCAGGCTATTATAATGTGACCTCTCGTGCTCGCACAAGGGCCATTAAAAAAGATCTTAAAGTTTCTCGGCCAGAATGACAAAATTGTCTGCAATTGCAGACAATCTTCCCGATCAGTCGATCCGAGAGATGAACTTTTTCGACTCATCCTTCTTCAAAGAGCCTAGCAAAAGTCTTCCCACACCGGCGCAAGTGAGGGCTCTGTCGAAAGATATTCACGCAAACCCTCAGCCACAGCCTATCATCTTTAAAGAGCCCAAAGTCTTCGTTAAGTTCGGCCCTTATGTCTCAATAGCAGAAGCGCAGTGTCTTTGGATGATCAAACGAGCTTGTGGCGACGAAATTCCAGTCCCCGAAATTTTTGGTTGGCGAGTGGACGAGGAGAACTATGTGTTCCTCTACATGGAACTTATCCAAGGACAGACGCTGCAGGATGGCTGGAATGGGCTCAATAGCCTGGACAAAAGCTCACTCTGCGATGAGCTATGTCAAATAGTCAAGCGTCTGCGCCGACTTAAACAAGATCCCTCCGATCAGTATATTGGTACGCCCCAGTAAAAATGAGAATGATATTATTTACATCTAATCGGAGATTTTCAGGTTCCATCAGTCACCAGCAACTCCTGGATTATGTTTTCCAATCATGCCCGAATACCGGACCTTTCTTAATCGTCAAGGATTTTAACGACTGGTTTTCCCACTTACCGCAATTATGGCTTCCTCCTTCGAAGAAATATAACGACCCCCACAGACATCTTTTACCGGACGGTGGAGCCATTAAATTTACCCATGGCGACCTCCACCGAGGAAACATCATTATCTCTTCCAGTAAACCAGCTCGAATCCTTGCTATCGTGGACTGGGCGCAAGCGGGATGGTATCCAGACTACTGGGAGTATTGTAAGGCACTCTATACTTGCTGGTACGAGGACGAGTGGCGACGAGACTGGGTCGACAACTTTCTGAGCCCACGCTTGCGAGAATTTGAGGTCTTCTCAGAGTACACAATGGCAATGGGCTCGGTGTGAACGTAATGCTTCCGTGTCCGTTTTAAGAAGCTTTGTAATTTCTGCGGATTATACTGATTTATCCATCAGTGAGCGGCATTTACTCTCAGGTAGAAGTCCAACGCTCGGGTCCTGTCATGAAATACACGAAACAGTCAAATTTGAAGAAACGAATTCACGTTGATATTGTGGTCTGAAGCAGATAAACAATAAGCACAGTAAAAAAAAAATAAATAGTAGTGAAACCAAGGGACTTATATCATTGACAGGTGCCATGAAGTTCTGACTGATCCCAGGAGTGGGGACCTGAGACGCAGCAATCTCAATGTTGCCTCTGGGAGCTAAATCTTTGGTCATCGCTGTGTCCACGGAGTCGACGATATTGGTCGAATAAACTTGACCAATCGGAAAAGTCTCGTGGCGCTGTTAGGTTATAGCAGGAGAATAGTTCCGTTTGAAATCGAGGATATACCCTGCCATGGGTGCATTAACATCGTGGATCAGAGTCCCTCGTTTGGGGTCTGTTGCCGATGGAAATTGCAAAGTGCGCTGGGTGAGATAAAATATTGCGAAAAGAGACGAGATGAATTGTTCTGTTCATAGTTATAATACATCAGGGCTATCTACAGGATAGTAATTCCAGCAAAGGCCCGGTGCTCATCGGAGTGGAGCTTCTCCTTGTTCTTGCCATCCAGGTCACAGCGGTAGATAGATCCACCCAGATCAGTGAGATAGGCATGAGAATTGAGGGAATCTAACTTCAGACCAATTGCCTCATTTAGACCTCTGGTGAGGATCTCATACCCCCGAGCGGAACTGGTTGGTAGCAGGAGACCATCTTCACCCAACTTGGCTCTGTTCAGCGAGTTGCCCCACGGGATCTCACCACGATCGGTCCAGTAAAGTGTGTTAGAGGCTACATGTACCTCAAGATCAATTGGCTCGGGAAGATCAGCGATAACGCACTGGACGTCACCTCGAGCAGTTGCTGACTGACCCTCGGGGGTTGTGATATTGGCGCAGAAGATGCGGCCGTTGCCACCCTTGGAGGGTCCCTTCTGGGTCCAATAGAATTTACCCTGGCTGGGGTTTACAGCAACTCCCACGCACCAGGTGGAGACAAGTTGCTCGGGGGTCATATCACGGCCAGTGTTATCAATCAAAACCTCCAGGTTGGAGCCGTCAAAGGCACAACGGTAGACTCGACATCCTTCACGGTCACAAAAGTAGACTGCTTGGGCCTCAGAATCAAGAACAAGCTGCTTTGGTGTATTGATGGTCCCTGGGGCAACAAGTGTCTTGACATCGGTTCCATCCACGTCAGCGGAGTAGACGGCACCGTCAGACTTTCCTGGAACGCCCATGCAAGTCCAGAACATGCGGCCAGAGGCCGAATCTACAGCGAGTCCATCAGGTAGGGATTGACCTTTGAGAATCGATGTCTGTTTCTGGCCGTCTGCGGAAACCCGGAGAATCTCTCCTGAAGTCATGCCGGGTGCAGCGGCTGAGAGTCCGAGATCCAACACCAAGATTTCGGGCTTCTTTGAATCGGCCTTGGTAGGAGTCGGGGTGGTAGCAGAATACAGACCACCATTTGAGCACTTTGTTCCCAGCCTTCCGTGATCCAGGTAATTGGCCTTCAAGAAGTCGACGGTCTTCTCCGGAGAGAGTCCACGTTCATCCACATAGTGACCCTCAATGAAGGCAACGGTGTCTAGACCAACATCTAAACAACTTCCTGTCAGTAAATAAACTCTCATGAACTCCGGAAAGGCGAGGGAAGTTCTTACTGTCCATTGTCCGGCAGGGAAGAGTGCGTCCCTTGACAAATAATTCATCCCACATAGAATCAATCTCCTCGGGAATCGAAACACCCTCAGCCAAGATAGTCAAGACCTCACGCTTCACAGCCGCCCACAACCGGTTGAAGATGAATCCAGTGGACTCCTTTCTTGCGACATATGGGTTTGTGGCAGCTTCCTTACATTGCTGAACCATGAAAGGGAAAATCTCTGGGGTAGTGTGTCCATCGGTCATAAGCTCCACAATCATACACGCCGGCGGCATATAATAGTGCATGTTAAGAACGCGGGTCTTGGTGGCATCCGAGAGCTGACCGATCATCTCGGAAGTCTTGTATGAGGATGAGTTGGAAGCTAGGATGCAGTCGTCGGGAGTGAGAGCTTCCAATTCGGTGAAAGTGGCGATCTTGAGTGGGAGCTTCTCAGGAACAGCTTCAATGACAAGCCAGGCATTCTCAACGGCTGATTTCATGTCTTGGACGGCTTCGTAGGATCCGGGGACTTTCTTGGTTTTGGTGGCGTATGATTCAACATTTTCCTTAATGTAGGCAATTCCATCGGCTCGCTGTTGCTCGCTGGGGTCCCGAATCTTGACATTGAAGCCGGCTGAAGCCCAGATGCATCCTGATGGCAGAATTTTGTCAGTATACCTATCTATTGAATGACACAATGGATGGGTGGGATACGGACCTACTCGGCGGCCGAGTACACCTGCGCCAAGAATGGCAACAGTGCGGCTGCGGTAGTTGCGAGGGGGTTCCCAGTTTGATGACATATTGTAAATAAAGTAGGTTCAAGTATAAATCAGTCCAGTTGGTGATATATTGGTTCAATGGCAGTGGCAGTTGAGTTCCTTTTATGTCCCGTTGCCATTTCCATTGTCATTGCCTTTCCGCGTTTCCCTCGGGGGTCCAATATCCACTACCCAAACCAGAAAGAAGATCAAGGAAGTTCGTCAGTATCAACAAAATACAATACCGAGGATCATCTAGGTTGGTTCATTCCTCGGAAACTCCAGTTTCGGGCCGTGGAACCGGAACAGATAAGATTGAGAGGCACCATGTGGACGGGTCGATATCTTACCTGAGCCCCATTATTATGGAGCAGGCCGAGGTAGTCTACCTCGGGATGTACGCCTGTGTGGAGTTTAATATTAATTAGAAAATCTTTATAGGACAGAAAGAATAAATAGCTCATTTAGTTTCTAAAACTATAAAGGATTTGTCTTCAGCGTCACGCTGGAATCTCACAAACACATCTTCATTGATATTGCATCCTCCATACACAATGGCAGCTTTGAAAGAATTCGATGCGAGCGAAGTCGCAACTCACAAAACAAAAAATGATCTTTTTGTCATTATTCATGGAAAAGGTAATCCTTCCCTTCCCAAAATATCGTGTGTAGTCTTTTAACATACCTAGTGTACGACATCACAAACTATGTGCGAGACCACCCCGGTGGTGCGGATGTGTTGCTAGACGTTGCCGGTTCAGATGCAACAGAAGCATACGAGGACATCGGTCACTCAGAGGATGCAAATGAGATTTTGGAGACATATCTAGTCGGTACTGTCAAGGATGCACACGAATTTGTTCAACGCAAGGTTGTTCGTGTGATCAAGCCAACCTCCGAAACAGAGACGTCCAAAAAGTCATCCGGCGCCCTCAAAGCTGCAATAACAATTACTGCCACACTTGCCGCTGGTTCGCTGGTTTACGTCTCTTCCAAGAATCATCGAGCCCTGACCGAATTCATTACAAAGCACACCCCGGCCTCCCTACAACTCTCTGGGGTTCGCCTCCCATTCAGAAGCCTTCTGCGCGGTGGATTTGTGACCGGAGTCACTGCTGCCACTCTAGCTTGCACTACGATCGGCGGTGTCATCGGAATCAAACTCTCGAAGTTCACCGAAGTCGAGTCTGGGTTCACAAAGTACCGTCCGTACAAGAAAGCCTCGACCATGAAGAAGCAGGACCCACATCTTGTGAAGGGCTTCCTCGAGCCCAAGACCTACAAAAAGCTCCCCCTCGTTCAGAAAGAGCAATTATCGCCCAATGTGTACCGCTTCGTATTCCAGTTGCCCAATAAGCGGGATGTGATTGGACTCCCCATCGGCCAACATGTCGCTATCAAGGCCATGATCAACGGTGCCTCTGTCTTGAGATCCTACACCCCGACATCCAATAACCTGGATCTTGGAAAACTGGAGCTAGTCATCAAATGCTACCCAGATGGCCTTCTCACCGGACAATACCTTGAGTCTTTGGAAGTTGGCGACAAAGTGGAATTCCGAGGCCCGAAGGGCGCGATGAAATATCACAGTGGTCTTTGCAAGAAAATTGGTATGATCGCTGGTGGAACCGGAATCACCCCGATGTACCAACTTATCCGCGCAATTTGCGAGGATGACCGGGATACGACTGAAATTAGCCTGATCTATGCCAACCGAAGCGAAGAGGATATTCTTCTTCGTCGGGAATTGGAGGCATTTGCGCGTGGATATCCCAAGAACTTCAAGCTCTGGTACATGCTTGACCATCCTTCTGATGAATGGGCTTACGGCAAGGGATACGTTACAGCAGAGGTCATGGCTGCTAGATTGCCTGGTCCAGCACCCGATACCAAAATCATGCTTTGTGGACCACCAGGTATGGTGAATGCTTCGAAGAAGAGCTTGGTGGCTGCGGGCTTCAAGGCTCCTGGCGCGGTCGGAAAAATTACCGACCAGATCTTCTGCTTCTAGAATGGTTCTGGTTATATACTCTGCTTGTTCCATGTTTATAGATTGTGCTGTACATTAGAGCTGTTTGTGAATTCAATGTATTTCTTTTTAATATATTTGAGAAATGTCTTAACATATCTATCATCTTAAGCCAAACAAATCAAATTATTAAAGCCCTGTGTCGTTAAGATAAAGGGCCGCATATGCCGACTATTCTTGTCCCTATAGATAGAAAAGTCCTACGGTCTACACACTTCCCTTTTTCCCTGCCGTATACGTATAACAGGTTTTAGAAGCCATTAACCGGTATATTGACTGGCAGAAAACTAGTAGGCTATGCGCAACCGGGGTCGCCTCCCTGCCCCAGGGCCCTAGGCATCTATCCATAATACAATAGATGATCATAAAAGCTTGGTATCACCATAATGGCTACGAACCCTAAGTACCGCGTAGAAGTCCAACTCTTAGGTGCAGTATATATAGAAGAATCTTACGGCTGGCATCTTAACTGAACGAAGAAGCCTATGAGAATGAGAGCTATGCGAGAAGCCGAGGAAGTATATAGGTCTAGGTAGGTATATGGACAAGGTAAAAGAAGGAGGCAACTCAATTATCTGGGTTGGTGCGATGACTTTCAAGCTTTGTCGTACGTACACTTGTAAAACCGAGAAAGTAGAGAGAATTTCTAAAAAGAGACATCCAACAAGGATATCGAGAGGACTAACCAAATGACATCACAAGGCCGCATAAGCCGACTCTTTTTGTGTTTCTATTCTAGACCTCTAGACCTCCCCGAGTGATGTTTTCTTACAGGTAAATAGTTAGAATAGTGAAGAACGAGTTTTCGCCACATCATGCCCATATCGAGACGTTCCGTGAGATTCTAGCCTTCTGCATAGTAACATTGCACCTAGATACGCAAATTGCCGGCCAATGGGATGGCAGATTTTCAAATCCTGCTGAATCCGGCTATTTCTGTGCAACTCCACTGAGAATATCTTCGTCGCTAATTGCCAAATTTAGATAAAGATACTTGAAATCCCTGCTCTTTTGACCTTCCGAGGTGAGGTAGACTCCGAGGTAGCGTTGGGCTAATCGGAAAAGTCCATGCTGATCCACAACCCGAGGAAAGGTGGATCCCGAACTATGAAACGGCCGGGATCCCGTCCTGATGACCATTGCGTCGATATATAAGTTTGAATTCCTAGATTAAACTGATCAGGATCGCAAACACTCAAACATGCCTGCTAAGCAATTTTACCTCCTTGGGGAGCCAGTCTCCAGAAACATCGATGTCGATCCCAAAAGTGATTTGGGTGAACTCAAGGACTTGATTGCAGCTCACTTCGCAATTGTTGAGTCAAGTGGTAAGCCTTGAAGAATTTCCCCCTTTGTTGTAGCTCTTAACAACTGACATGTGTAATAGGTATCGATTTCCATGCTCAAGACCTCCCACTGAACGAGATCACCGAAATCATTTTGGCCGAAACTCCCATCGCCATCACCATTGATGGAAATGCAGTCCGTGATCCACCTGGTCCGAAGGGTCTTCCCTACGTCGGAAATTTCTTCGAAGTCTACCCAGACCACCTTGGCAACCACCAGCGTCTCTTCGAACAATACGGCCCGGTCATCAAGACAACCAATCTCGGCCGTGTAACCTATCAAACAAATGATCCGGCTATCTCTGCGATCGTTTTTGCCGAGTCCGACTTTTTCACTAAGAAGATCAATTCGGCTCACCCCCTCTACCCCCTGAAGCAGCCCGAGGCGGGTGTTTTCCTGGGAGATACCGATACTCCTGAGTGGAAGGTTGCCCATAAGTTTTTGCCTCCCGCTCTTGGCCCTAAGGCTGTTCGTCACTATGCGCCTACAATGCAGAAGACAGTGGAGGATTCCTTCAATGTCTTTGACGACTTTGATGAGCAGGGTGAAGCCTGGAATGTTTACCAGTACATGTTGAAGCTCGGATCTCAAGCAGTTGGCAAACTCACGCTGGGCTTGGATTTCCAACATTTCTCTAATCGGGACGCACAGATGCACGAGATGGTGCATTTGATTGCTGGTGTTCTTTCTCTCAATAAGAAAGTCTCGTCCAAGGGAGATTGGTATGGCAAGCTGCCATTCGGTGATCCTAAGAAGCTCAAAGACTACAAACTTAGAGTCGAACAGATTGTGGGGGAGACAATCAAAGAAGCAGAACGCGGAGGCGTTGAAGACCTACCACTGCAAGATGCCGCGCTCAAGGCGTCTAACATGATCGGTAAGTGGCTACTACACATCACCCAGTCCGCTTCTCATATACATGAATTCTGACAAACATTTCAGACTATGCCATCCGCGCAACCGACAACAAGGGGGAGAAACTACCCCAATCAAGCTTGATCTGGGCTCTCGTCGTCGCAACTGGAGCCGGCTTCACAACCACCAGTTCACTTCTCTCCTGGCTCATCTACGGTCTTGTGACCTACCCCGGTATGCAAGAGAGACTACTCCAAGAACTCATCGACAACGACATCGACGAGAACACCGTGATCACAGCAGATGTCTCTGACAAGCTCGATTTCCTCGACAAGTACATCAAAGAGACCCAGCGTCGCCACAACCCCAGTTTCCAGCCTGGACGAACCGCCAAGGTTGACCTCATTCTTCCGGGAGGATACAAACTTCCCAAGGACTCGGTTATTCTCCCGGCCCTGCACCACATCCACAACAGCCCAGATCTGTGGGATAATCCTGCTCAGTTCAATCCCGACCGCTGGGACACCGAGGAGGTCAAGAACAGACACAAGGCTGCGTACATCCCATTCGCTATGGGCCCCCGCATGTGTATTGGATTCAACTTTGCCTTGCAGGAAATCAAGGTCTTCCTTCCCAAACTCATCTTCCGGTATAAGTTCATTCGCGAGGGCAATGAGCCCATCGAGTATGATCCTATGTTCCAGTTGATTCGGCCCAATAACCTCTACGTTCGCGCAGAGAGGAGAGTGAAGTGGCCTCCCAAGTCGGAGACAGCGGGAACGGAGAATGTTGGAGAGTTCCAGCATGGATTATAGATGTGCAAATATCAAGTGAAGGCTTGGGTAGCGGCAATTGTTTTTAGAGTATAGAAATGTATATTATTTCGTTTATCAAAAACTACCCGTATTACAAAGAACTTTCCATCTAGCAAAGTAGAGGAGGCTAGAAACAGATATATATGTCGAACCAAACGAGATGGAGCCACCGTAGATGTCACACGACGAATACACTAGAAGGTAGGTATAATGAAACGGGGACTGAAAGGTATCAAATCGAAGACATGTGCAATAAAAAAAAAGAATAGTGCCTGTAAAATGAAGCTGAGAATCCCCAGCATTCAAAATTGTGGAAATTTTTTAAGGGTCTCATCCCATCATCTTCTTTCTCATCGAGTAGTAACAATAACAACATTATGGCTCTGAAGTAACAGGCTTTGCCTCTGATGACTCCGGTGCGTCATTTGCAGGTGGTTCCAGAGCTTTACTTTGTGGGCGCCACTTGGTGAGGACTTTGACCGCAGCAGGTCGGGATTCCTCATCTGTTCGTCGCGGGTTAGATATATATAACCAGGGACATTAAGGGAAGAGTATACTTACAAGTCCGATAGACATCCTCTACCGTGTTCAAGCACATTTCTCGTGCTGGAGGTCGGAACATGATCAGATACCTAAAGGAAAGTCAGCAGGGAGGTTATTGATAGCGAAAAGAACAGATGACGACATACATCAATGATTGAACACAAAGGTTCACACGTTCCGGATCTTTCGCCAAACTGGCCACCCGCTGAGTGATGGAAATCGTAATCTCAGGGACTTCACTGAGAAAGCGGACCAGCACCTTGATATCTCGAGAGTCCAAATAGGCTAGGAAACCATCCAAAAGTCGGGTGGCCCAGGTATCATAATTTTGAGGCACAGTCGGTTCCGATCCTTCCTCGGTGTCATCACGCTGATTGGCAGCACTCTTCATTTGGATCCGGTCATTATACCACTCTTCATTGAGCCAGATGATGGCAATGTTAAGTCGGCCTCGAAAATCTTCCAAGATGAACCGATAGAGCGTCTCGCGGATCGAGTCAGCAATAGTTGTTTGTCTACGTACGGCATCTCCTTTGGCTTGCTGGTCATTTTCGAGACCGGCAGGAGCCCGTGTAGCCAAACGAGCAAGAAGAACAGACCACGCGTCCCGATCAAATGTGCTGCCTGCTAATCTGGCGAACCCGAGCTTTTGTTGGCTTTGACCCTTGGCAGGCGCAGGTGATGTTTCGGCGGCGTTCAGCATACCGAACACGCGTGCAACAGCACTCCGTCCAATTTCTCCAGCCTCTTCTTCGGTCAATGGAGGTGGCTGTGGCAGGACAAAGGGACCCAAAGAGACCAGTTCTGGTTGAAGATCTGCTACCTCCGCCGCAACGGCACTGGCCTCTTCTGAAACAACAGATGCTACGTCCATAGGCTGGTATTCAGGCTCATAGTCATCATCCTCATCCTGGGCAGCAGCTCTCTGTTGCTGCTGCCGTTGCAGATTTTGATCTTTAGTGATTGTCTGATATCGAGTACGAACAGCCTAGGGCCATGTCAGCATATAATCAAGTTTCACCCTAATGACAATACTCACATCGACAGCTTGTGCAAGTGTTGAATCATGTACCTGCGACAAGAGAGGTACAACAATCTTGAGGACTAGATCAATTGGCAGCTGTTTTACGTCGAAGGAGGACAGCCCGGTATCCTCGGTCAAGGTGAAGAGTCGATCAAAGCTTGCAGGCCCAGGTGCCATTGGAGGAATCTTAAGCATCGGAGGAGGCAAAGCATTGAGACGTGCCCGCTTAGCGTTGTCAAGCCCATCGGTAGGTTCATTTGGCAATCCACGTTTCCGCGAAGCGTCATCGGTGACTTCAAGTCGTGATTGCATTAGACGTTCAATATACATTTGCATCCGACCAGTCAGGGGGTGGTTCGGGTTCCTATGAAAAGTTAGGTCAAACCACATCTTTTGTA